AAACAAAACAGCTGGAGAGTCAAAAGTGCTCAGATACTGGTGAGAGTCAGAAAATGACAGGCAGGATTCAGGGCGCAGGACAGGCAGCAGGGAGGGGAGAAGTCAGAGGAGGAGGTGGTAGGATGGTCAGTGGGGCAGAGAAGCAGAGGCTGGGGGCGAGCCGGAGTGCCCCAGGCGAGGAGGGAGGGAGCGAGTATCGGTGCAGGACGGGCAGGCGGCCAGGATGGTACCGGTGACCCTTCAAGGGCTGCTGCTTTGGTGGAGGGCTGGGAGCTGGCCTGGGGAGCAGGGACGGAGTCAGCTTCTCGGGGCCCCTTAAGAAATCGGGTTGTCGAAGCGGGTAGAGATGTGGAGCCCCAGGGCTGGGGTGCAGAGTCCAGACACATTGTGTTTTGTGAGTGTGGACGCCTCAAGCTCGTTGCAGAGTCGAGAAGCCCCAGGAAGGGTCCAGTTAGGGCAGGTGAGCAAACATTTGAGAGGAAGATGGTCTATGGTTGCTTCTTCGAGGACACTTTAATTGGCATTGGGAAGAAGGGCCTGACAAGCCCTGGGGGGAGAGGTGGGCTCAGCCAGGACGGGACAGAGCGGGGACAGAGGATGGCGGGGGATCGGGGGCTGACAGGTCCTACCGGGTGGGGGCATGGAAGAGCCAAGATGTGGGCTCCCTCCAAGCAAAGACCCTCCTCCTTTGCTTGCTGGGTGGAAGGCCGGTAGTGACAGCTCTTGGTTCCACAGGCAGGTCACCAGAGACACACACTCTAGTGAAGACTCTGAAAACATTTTGACAGGAGTTTCTCTTGAGTCCACAGGGTCTCTACTGCCTTCGGAGCTAAACAATCCACATGCCAAAGTGGCATGTGTTGGGGAGGCCTGATCTGACCCTGAACACTGGCGTCATCAGGAGAGGGACAGACCTGACTCCGGCCCCAGGAGGGCGATGCCAGTTGAGCTTCCAGGATCCTCCCTGCCCTGCGGGCCCGAGTGTGGCTGTTAAAAGGCCCTGGTTGCTTTTCTGAGCTTGTCTGTCAGCCGGAGTCCTGCCAAAGTGAGTTTGGGGCCTCTGTGGGGTCAGACGCTGGGGTGACACGGAGCAGGCCGTCCCGAAGAGAGGCCACGGCCAGGGCCAGCGGCTCCCAAGCGGCCTCTTTGTTCTGTGTGTCTGGGGGCGGGGCTTCAGATGAGCTCACTAGAGACCTGAGAGCCCAGGAAAAGGGACGGTCTTGAGGAGAGCGCTCCCTGCTTGTGATCCCGGGCAACGGAAGCAGGCCACCCTCACGCGGCCACTGTGCGCCAGGCGCTCGGTCTCCGATGGCTCCTCCTCCCGTCCTGTGGCTGGCGGCCGCGGTTTGGGCGTGTGTGGGCTGCTGCAGCTCAGCGCGTCCACGCAGCGGAGGGCTTGTCTGCGGTGGGACGTAGGCGGGTCCCAGTGGGGGACCAAGGGGCCCTGGGTTATCTCCAAGCAAAGGAGAAGCACCATCACGCTTTACTGTGGTGGCTGTGGTTTGCTACCAGAACATTCCCAGGAAAAGGAAGGAATCGTGTCAATTATGGACCCACGTCGTGTGGTACTGGTCTCGGGGTGTGTGACTCCTGCAAGTTCCCTCCGCCTCCCAGGGCTGGTGCTGAAGGCATCGCTGGGGTGCTGTTGTGAGGAGATGCTGGGCACCTGTTCTTTTTACTCTTTCCTCTTAAGCTTTACAGACCATAGTCTTTATTTTATTTTTATTTATATTTATTTATTTATTTATTTTTGGCTGCGTTGGATCTTCGTTGCTGCGTGCGGGCTTTTCTCTAGTTGCAGTGAGATGGGGCTACTCTTCGTTGCGGTGCGCGGGCTTCTCATTGCGGTGGCTTCTCTTGTTGCGGAGCACGGGCTCTAGGCGCGCGGGCTTCAGTAGTTGTGGCACATGGGCTCAGTAGTTGTGGCGCACGGGCTTAGTTGCTCCGTGGCACATGGGATCTTCCCGGACCAGGGCTCGAACCTGTGTCCCCTGTGTTGGCAGGTGGATTCTTAACCACTGCGCCACCAGGGAAGTCTGGGGTAGATGTTCTTAAGGTCCTCTTGTGTGGCCTGAGCAGGCGTGGGGCACAGGGAATGCAGGTGAGGGGAGGGTTCCCCTCAACAGGACTTCGCTCCAGGAGAGGGTGGCGAGGCCCAGTGAGCTGGTTCCCTCCCGTCACAGAGCACAGAGGCCCCCTGGCACAGACTCGCGCCCTTCACCTGCTGGGCTTCTCCAGGAAGCATGTGGGACCGAGAGCAGGAAGGCCTGGGAGGGAGGCTTCCAGGACACCTGCTGGGACGCCGAGGGGGAGGGACCCATCCTGCTCGCAGCAGCACAGATCTCAGGGTATGTCCTTCCCTACAGCTGCCAGGGAGATATGCCCAGTTACCCCACTCATTCACATATGTCACCATGGTAAGAAATTCCCCTGGAGCCTCGCAAACCAGCCCAGGATGAGGGTTCCTGCAACGTCTCCTCTGACGGGAGGTACGTGTGGAAAGGGAACCTCATTTGTGGCCAGGGGTCTCCCAGCCTCCACTGTCACTCTAGATGCAGAATTCCTACCACCCGTCTTCAAGTGCGATGCACACCCTGTGGCCAGGGCCATTCTTGTCAACTCACCTCCCCAGTTTCTTCCCTTCCGTCGCCTTTGGAGGAGACTGTCTGCTCTCTCCTCACCACAGATGCTGTTTGCTGTCTCCTCCTCCGGGGTCCGGGGCCCTGGGCGACTCCTCTCATAGGTTTGATTGGGTGGGCCTGGCTCCTCTTACCGTGTGCTGATGGCCATGGGGTAGCGGGCCCGAGATGATCGGCTTACACCTCTCTAGTGGAGTCCAGTCCTCAGGGGGGTCCCCTGCAGGTGGCCCACAGCTCGGTGAGGGTGAGGCACACAGCTGGCGCACACAGTAGGTGCCAAATTCTGGTGGTATCACCCATTCCTTTGAAGACGGTGCATTAGGCCGTCTCCTTGACAACCAATCTGCTTCCCTCCTGTGCTACTGGAGGTCAGAGGAGGCCCTTTAATGGGATGGAGACATTTCCAGACAAGAGGGCACTGTGGCCGGAGCACAGGGCTGAGCGGGGCAGGAGCGGTGGAATTATAGCAAAACGGCATTTGGGGATGCACATCGAAAACGTGAGGAAAGAAGGACGATGGGTGTTACAGCAGTGAGCCTGACCGGCCTTCAGCGGGACTCAAACTCACTTCCAAGGAGAAGCAGAGAGCAGGATGCAGGAATATTCATTTCCTGTTTTTATTGTTGGTTACTTCATGACCTTCCTTTGAAACGCTGCAGTTGTAGAAAGCTGGTTGTCATGGAAACAAGGGAGTGCCGTGCAAGGAATAGGTACACGATGCGTTTCTTTGTCCGGTCCAGCTGATGCCTATAGCCTCTGCTTTGACGTGTGAATTTATGTGAGGAATTAAATATTAACTAGAAGTATTGCCCTGGAGAGAGGCGGAAACACAGGGAGAGGAAAGATGCCGGGAACCCGGGCAAAGGGGAGGCAAAGCATTGGACCTCACCTGACTTGTGCCAGCCCCCTGGTCGGAGTGGCTGTTAGTGGAAATCCCCCCCCCCCCCCACTTTCTGACATGCTCCATAAAACAGCGCAAGAGCTGGGACGATGGTGCAGGGCTGCGGGTGCTAGAAGCCTGAGGCTGTCCGAAGCAGAGAGTGACTTCCCCCCAAGAGCCCCTGTCCTGTGTTCCTGAGACGGTCATGTCTTTCTGGTGGATTCCAGAAAACAAGGGTCGTATGAGTGCTGTGTACAAGAGTGGCCCCAGTTTCTCGGTTTCTCCCCTTGAGCTGGCATGGCTGGCGTTCATTAGGTTTTCTTTCTCTGACTCTCAGAAAATGAGTTCCGGGGTGAGCTGCTGAGTCAGGGGTGGACGCACGGAGACAAGACCGACAACTGCAGGACCCCGAGACTCTTCCTGGGCGGACACAGCAAGGTGAGGTGCTTGGAGCGCAGCGCCCAACCTGGGGCCCCGGGTCCGGGCAAGGGTCCTTCTCACTCCTTGGCGTGGAGCGTGGAGGTGACTTTTGGTCTAGTCACTATCCATCTAGATTAGGCCAAGAATAAGTGCAGGCTAGGACCATCCATGATCTTTAAAATGAAAGGAAGAAAAGTGCCTCTGAGTAGAGGAAAACTACAATGCGGCAGCAGGTCCCGCGTCTGCCAGGCCCCTGCTCTGGGGCCCGGTCCCACCGGGCTCCGCGGTGCACTTCAGTACTTGCTCTTCTCCCCGCCGCTCGCTGGGCAGCCTTTGCTGCAGGGACTCCTGAGGTCTGCTGATCTGGTTGACTGCAATCTTCCCAAGTGGGGGCCTGTGGTGCCCTGCTCATACCTGCCTGGAACTCGCCGGTGGAGGTGACTCGGGCACTCCACCTCCACAGGGATGCTCCAGACCCAGATATCACATGCACTCATAGCCACACCAAACCTCTCATTCTGGATGTGCTCACTCCCCATGATGGGCTCTGGGTGAAGCCAGGTGCCCAGGCTCAGGTGACCCTCAGAGATGGAAGTGCGGGTGACAACGGGCTTGGTGGGCATCCCTTCCCAGATCTCAGATTCTGATCTCTCATATTCTTTGACATGTAGACGCTCTCCACCAAGGATCCAAGCCATGACCCAGAGCATGGCCACCAAGAAGTGGCAGCCCGGGGGATAGACAGGCAGGGCTGTGAAGTTTTAGGTGGCAACCTCATTTGAGGGGGCTTGTATTTTACTCTCGAAGCCCAGCGTTTTTCTTTTGAATCTGGTGACTGGACTGTAGGTGGCATGGGTCTGTCGTAGCACCTTGTCAGGCACCTCCACTCACACTCTTATTCCTGTGTGGTCATCTGTGCTCTGCTGAGCCGTGTTTGAGCTCAGCTCAGACAGTAATGCTGGCCCAGTCTTTATTTAAAGTTTTGTTATTTTGCTCATCATGGAATTTTTGCATTAATTTAGATGTTTTAAAATATTGCATTAAATTATTATTTAATTTGATCACTTAGTTTTGTTTCCCCCTTAAATCTGCACCTGACTGAATGCTGTACTCGCCTCACCCATCTGGCCCTGAGCGCTCAGGGATCACGTGACCAAGAAGCTACCTGGTTTGAGGCCAGGGGCTCTGGGTGCCGTGTCTTCACAGTGGCTGGCGTTGTGTAAGGGGCAGGTAGGAAGGCTGCAGTCACCCCGTGGCTCAGGTGTGACAAGCTTGGAGTGTGTGGGACCTGCTGGGAACATGCCTGGTGGCCACGCTCAGCTTCTCCCCCAGCGCCGACTGTTTCACACCTGCTCCGTTAGGGTCATTTCCTCTAGTTTGGGCAGACAGGGCCAGAGTTACTGCTCTGAGCAGGGAAGCTAAGAAGAGTGAGCCAGAGAAGGAGGGACTATGGGGCTGGCACCGGGGGCACCTTCTCACCGAGGAGGCCAAGAAGGGGCGGGGACACAAGAGGGCAGCGCGCTCACAATGGCAGGACTGGCCCGAGAAGGAGGCGGGGAGCTGGGGAGCTCGGCGCCCCGAGGGCACCCGGAGCAGAGGAGCCCTGTGTGTGGGGGGTGGTCACAGCCGCCTCGGCCTCTGAGTTCAGCACCAGGCGTGTGGACAGCTCGGAGGTGGGTTTGGAAGGGGCTGTTAGACAAGATTAGGTGGTTGTGTGCTTTGTGGGAAGTGCTGGGCATCGGGCTTTTTTTTTTTTTTATAAACTTAAGGAGGAAAGGAGCAGGTATGGATGGTAGGACCTTAAAGCTCTTCTTGACCTTGAAGAATGAAGCACTTGGGCCCCAGATCATGGGTGTTCAGTGGATGACTAGAGGTACGCAAGCCAGGAGCAGGGTGACTGCGGGGATGCTCAGCAGGGCCTCCCTCCTGCCACTGCAGTGGATGCTCCTGACGAGGGGAGGAGGTGGCGCCAGCTGTGTCCTCTGACCTGCCTACTTGGATGTGGCTAGATTTCTACCCCGAGAAGGTGGAAACTCCATTTATGCTGAAGTTTTAGACAGATGGATCCAGGCATGGCTGCTGTATCAGGGTGTCTATTATATAGTTATAATTTTAATGTAGGGGTTGGAGTGAGCCATGACCCCACGCTTGGAGATGCCAGGAGAGCCCCTCCCAAGATGCGCATTAAATAATGCTCCGTGGGGTGTCCTTTCTACAACCCAAGGAGAGGGCTGGCCTGTTCAGCTGCCAGTCGGTTGGACAATGGGTGGAGCGTCAGAGATTTTCAGACACACAGTCAGACTTCCTCCACGGGGGACACAGGCGTCACCGCCAGGAACCAGGGGTGCTGTGACAGCTGTCAGGAGGTGCAGGGGTGCGTGTGTGTGGTTTAGCCTCAGCCATCAGAGAATGGAGAGCAGGATGTATGCTGAGGATCCCGGAGACAGCAGGACTTCAGCATCTTCAAAGCAGAAGGCTGCTCTGGGGTCTGCCCTGCTGCGGCTTGCGGGCTGGGCTGGGAGATGGCGAGTATTCTGCTGGAATGGCTGGTGGGAGACGGAGCAAGGAACGTACTTGAAAGCTGCTCGGAAATCCTTCAAGGGGGCGTCTCTCCAGAGGTAGGAGCACGGGTTTGTCCCAACGCTCTGCTCCCAGGCTGTGCGCACGGTGAGGGAATAAAACCAGCCCAGACTGTGCCCCTGCTCTGCCCTCCTCTCCCCACGTCACCCCTCCTTCTAGGCAGGCTGCCTGGTCCTGCGAGCCAGCAGACACTCCCCCTTCTTCGCCTGGGTCTTCCCGGAGGAAAAGGGACGCCCTCACCCGAATAATCTTGTGCGTTTTAAAAGTCGTCCTAAGTCCATTCTAACCCCAGCTTTGCAAGCTGTTGCAACGTGTTCTAAGTAAAATGGGGCACTAGCCCGAGCTCCTGGACTTACTCCCGCAGCCCAGGTCCAGGGGGAGTCCTCTGTGGTCCCAGGGGCCCTGGACTCTCCAGCAGCTCGGGGCTCTGGTCTCTGCTCTGATGGCTCCTGGCCACCTTCCCAGCTCTAGGATCTCAGACGTTTCAGATCGTCCCAGTTTGTCTGTCCCTCTGCCTGTTTGTCTGACCTTACACAGTATGCCCCGAGCAGCCAAAGAGGTCTCTGCAGGGAGACACTGACCTCAAAAACATGAATGATTGAGCTTATTTCAGATGGAGATGAGCAGGCCAGGGGGAGAGCGAGAGAGGGGGTGCAAAGAGGGAGGACGCAGGCCCGACCACTGAGAGGCGCTGGCCACCCAAGGGTGCACCTTCTCCACGGGGCAGGCGCACCCGCCCCCTGAGGCCCTCTTCCCTGAATGTCCTCAGGTCCTCTCTGATCCACGGGGCCTCCCCACTCCCACCCAGCCTCCCACGGCTGAGCAGCCCCTTCCTCTTGAGCTCCCCCCCGACGCCCTGACATCTCCCCTTTTCTGCAGTGAGGGACCTGCTGCCTCGGGTCCCATAGTTGGTGCTACTCAGGCCAGGACAGCCCGCAGGGGCCGGAGCGTCAGGCGACGTCCAGGGCTGCTCAGGGCCAGGCTCCAGCCTGGAGTCTGGTTTTCGTCTAGCCCTTAGCCATGGTGCAGAAGGGCAGGGACGTGGTATAGGGTGGAGAGGGGGGAAGCTCTTCAGCTGTGAAGGCCCCGGGAAGAACCAAGAAGGAAAGAGAATGAAAGAGAAACAGAGAGAGACATAGAGAGTCAGAGAGACGGAGACAGGGACAGAGGGAGAGAGTCGGAGAGAGAGATTCAGAGAGACACATAGAGACAGACAGACGGAGGGAGGATGACTGAGCCAGAAAGAGAAACGGGGGAGGCACCCCTCCAGAAACCACCTGCAGGTCCCTGAACTTGGCAGGGGGTGGGCAGGCCTGGGTTCTGGGGGTAGAGTTGAAGGTTGGCACGAAGCCTGTTGGACCTCTGACTGGACATTCCTGGGGGAGAGTCCACCCTGTCCACTGTGTTACTGGCTGTGCGTCTGGATTCTGAGAGCCCTTCTCACAACCACAGCCTAAGAAGCTACTGGTTTCAAGGTTGCTCTGCACGTTTGCTCTCTTGGTCCCCGAGTTTGTAAACATCCAACTCGGGGACCTCAGGTTTGGCAAGGGTGCCATGTGGAAGGGGCTGGTTTTGTAACAAGTCATTGTGAGAACCGTTTACATTTAAGAAGAGCTTACACGATTACCCTTGACTTTACTGAAAAATACAAAACAGAGCCAAGCATCGCCACCCCTGTGAGCGAGACCATCACGTGATACAACAAAGCAGGTTCAGAAGAAGGGTGAAGAGACCGTTCTCGCTGGTTAAGAGATGTGGTCAGGGACTTCCCTGGTGGCACAGTGCTTAGGAATCCGCCTGCCAATGCAGGGGACATGGGTTCGATCCCTGGTCCAGGAAGATCCCACATGCTTTGGAGCAACTAAGCCCGTGCGCCACAACTACTGAGCTGTACTCTAGAGCCCACGAGCCACAACTACTGAGCCCGCATGCCACAGCTACTGAATCTGTGCGCCTAGAGCCCGTGCTCCACAACAAGAGAAGCCACCGGGCTTCCCTGGTGGCGCAGTGGTTGAGAGTCCGCCTGCCGATGCAGGGGACACGGGTTCGCGCCCCGGTCTGGGAAGATCCCACATGCCGCGGAGCGGCTGGGCCCGTGAGCCATGGCCACTGAGCCTGTGCGTCCGGAGCCTGTGCTCCGCAACGGGAAAGGCCACAACAGTGAGAGGCCCGCATACTGCAAAAAAAACAAAAACAAAAACAAAAAGAGAAGGCACCACAATGAGAAGCCCATGCACCGCAACGAAAAGTAGCCCCCACTCACAGCAACCGGAGAAACGCTTGCGTGCAGCAACAAAGACCCAACGCAGCCAAAAAACAAACAAACAAACAAACAAATAAATAATTAAAAAAAAGAGAGATGTGGCCAAATGGGGTGCGTTTGCATTTGTAAATTATTCTCCCATAGTTCTCCTGTTGAAGACAGAACGACTGAAATGTTATTAGAGCGAAGAGCTGGCGCAGGGAGCCCAGGGCAGCCGCAAGACAGGCCGCTGGCGGCGGAAGGCGGTGGGCATCACAGAAGCAGCGTGGACCAGTTCTTGAGAGATCGCTAGCCCCACGGGGGTGCGTTGAGGCCGGTAGGCTGGGATGGGGCCTTTCACCCTCCGGTGGGAGGTCACTCGACTACGTGTGGGCCTTTCAGAAACAGACTTGACTGGTTTGTGCTCGGAGCAAGGGAAGAATTTCAAAAATAAATTAATGAAAAATTGGGAAGTGTCTCCCTGTCTTGGCCTGTCTTGCTGTGGTGGGGGCAGAAGGTGGGGCGGCCGGCAGGCTGAACAGGGCTACCCATCCCCACGTGAGGCACCGGTGCTGAGGGTGGGAGGATGCAGAGAACCACCCTCAGAGAAGGAAAGCAGTAAAAAGCCAGTGGCGCTGGCTCAGAAATCAAGGTTTCCCTGCTTGCCCGTCGGTGGCGGCACCCGGCTCTCAGAAGCTCATTCTCATATTGAAGAGCCATAACCCTAGTTCTTCCTCCCGTAGTTCAGTTTTTCCCCTTTGCACATCAAAGCTCCGTGCACTGGAGAGAACTTCTCACTTATTGACCATTTGATGCAGGTAAATTGCAGATGGAAAGGTGCTTGGCAGAGTGAATGCCACAGCTGTCAGCTCTGCCAACAGGAGCTTGCAGTGTGCGAGCAGCGCCCGGACGCATCCTGCAACCCTCTCTATTCTGTGCTCTTTGAATAATTTATCTTCAGGAAATCCAAATTGCCAAGGCACGCTTTAACCTAGCAGAATGCTCGCCAATTTCCTTGGGAAAACTGACAGAAAAAAAAAAAAAAAAAAAAAAAGAGCTGTAGATTGCATTTCAGCTGAGAGCGGCCTGGCAATCAGACGCCTTGGCCCCTTTGTGCCACTGCATCGGAAGCCTCTGTGCTGGGCTCAGCGCAGACGACATTTGAAGACTCATAAATGTAATGAAGTCCCTTTGACACCTGCTCCTCTCTTCACTTTAAATGTGAGCCATTGGTCCATGGGGAACGCTGCTTTAAAAATAGGAATTATAGTAATTGTCTTCCGTGCTGTCGGGAGGCTGTAAGCGCACAGCTCTTAGCTCTACCGCCTGGAGTCGACGGCTGCATAAATTACCCCAGGTTGTGATTTCCGTCCTTAACACAGCACATGAATCTCTGTGCGTTCGTGCTGCCCGGGGTGGGGGGCTCACTTTGCAAGTTCTAGCTTACTAGCAGGGGAGTTAATGGGAGGGGTCCCTTGTCTTTCTTCCCGAGTGGGACCTTAGCTGCTTGTCCTGTGCTGGCCTCTGGGGACTGAAGCCCCTTCCCCGGCTGCTCCTTTCCCACTGGCTGGCTTTGCTCTGATGGCCTCTTGGGGGCCTGGGAGGTGGGGCTGCTCCCTCCCCCGCCCCCCACAGGGCACACCTGCTGGGAAGAGGGCCCCTTCTATCTCCCACTCGTTCCAGCCCCGACCCGGCTGGGGATCCCGTGTGATGACCTGTGCTCCGGGGCGTCCCTACCCTCCCAGGGCTCTGCCTCGTTCCCTGGAAGGATGTGGGCAGGGCCCCTTCTATCTCCCACTCGTTCCAGCCCCGACCCGGCTGGGGATCCCGTGTGATGACCTGTGCTCCGGGGCGTCCCTACCCTCCCAGGGCTCTGCCTCGTTCCCTGGAAGGATGTGGGCAGCATCCCCCATGGAAGTGGGTCTGAGGCAGAGAATGCGGGACAGGAGCTGATGGGCTCAGGCAGGGTAGCCAGAGGACGTGCGGGGTCCCTGTCCCCCTCGAGGGCCTCCACTCCCTCTCTCCTGGGGGAGTCAGCATCTCTGGGAGGGCGGCCTGTGTGTCGGGTCCAGGGGACGCCTCGGCCTGCGCTCCTACCAGCTCTCACCCCTGTGTGCTTCCCGCCTCCAGAGCCGGTGCCGTGACCACGGGCCCTTGGCATGTGGCTGGTCAAACTCAGAGGGGCTGTGAGTCCAGGAGATGTGCAGGATTTCTAAGAGTTAGCACTAAACAAAATCCCGTTCATAACTTTTTCTATTGATGCTGTAGAAATGATAATGTTTTGGAGAGATCGGGCTAAGTAAAGTTTAATATTAAAATCAATTTCACCCGCTTCTTTTTACACTTTTTTTTTTTTTTTTTCGGTACGTGGGCCTCCCACTGCCGTGGCCTCTCCCGTTGCGGAGCACAGGCTCCGGACGCGCAGGCTCAGCGGCCATGGCTCACGGGCCCAGCCGCTCTGCGGCACGTGGGATCCTCCCGGACCGGGGCACGAACCTGTGTCCCCTGCATCGGCAGGCGGACTCTCAACCACTGCGCCACCAGGGAAGGCCTCTTTTTACACTTTTAATTAGAAAAAGTTATTAGAAAAGTTTAAATGAGTGGATGACCTGTTCTGTGTTCCCCTGGGCAGCAGTGCCTGGAGGCCCCTGTGCTGCTGGAAGCACCCGCCCATCTCTTGTTGAGGATGATCGGGTCCCCAAGCTCAGGCTGCCCCATTGGCTCTCCGCGGGACAGCGCACGGGGGGCGGCAAAGCCCGCTCAGGTCCCAGGCACCTGTTTCTAACAAGACGACCCTCGAGTGCCGGGGTCACCAACTCCCAGGGGAAGCTGGGCTCTCAGCATGGCGGGGTCAGAGTCTGCGGTGGGTGGTGTCGCCAGGGGACCGTGTGTTACGACACCCGGACGTTAATGAAGGCTTGGTGGCTGCGGCTTCCTCCTCGGATGTGAGCCTGGGGGCGTCAGGAGGGCCCAGAGCAGGAGATGAGGGACACTGTGGGGCCAGCGGTCTCCGCCCCGAAGCGCCTCCGCCTCACCTGCTGCTCGTGGGTTCGCAGGCCGTTCCTGCCCTGCGAGCGGTTCCTTGTCTCCTGTGTCAGCTTCACAGGCCCCGGTGAAGCTTGAGACAGAAAATGCCTGGAGGTGACGCTGCAGACACAGGGGGTGGCTCTGCCGTCTTCCTGTTGACAGCGCAGTTGTTTTTACTTGCAGATGAGCTTAGAAAATGACGAGAAGAGAGCTCGTACGAGATCCAAGGCCCTCCGAGGTGAGTTCCCCCCTCCCCTCCCAGCAGGGTCTGGCCAGGGCCGTCCACAGCCTGCCTCTGGCCAAGAGTCCCAGGTCCTAAAGCTGTAAATGCCACCTCCCACAGCAGTTGTCCTTAGGAGGACAGAATCCCGCAGCAGTGCCTCGCCCCTGGGACGCTCCTCCCCTAAGCCGGGCACCTGGTGGCCTCAGGCTTCTTCAACCTCAGGGTGCATTTGAGGGCCACGGCCACTGGGGGGCTTTTGGCCTAGATGCACCTGCTGGGGAGGAGAGGAAGTGGCAGCCCCAGCGCTGCAGAGTGGGGAAAGCAAAACCTGGTTAGACCTGTTCTGTTTGGGAAGGAGAGGCCGCCAGCCTCGCATCACCAGCCTCTCTGCCTCCCAGATTAGTCTTGGCGCTGAGGGCACTGGGATGTTCCTGGGTTGAACTGGCACTGGGGTAGGGAGAGGGGCTGAGGCCCTGCTTGCTCTGCAGGGACCAAGTCCCGACACCGTGGCCAGCCTTGCCACCCCGACGCCACAGGGCACACACTGCTCCTGTGCGTGGGTGGCCCTCAAGGAGGGGCCAGACGCCCCGAGCTTCTCAAGTGTCTGCCAGTCAGACTAATGCAAGTTCTTGTCCCAGTGGCCCCATCACTGAGGGACCAGGTGCTTGGGCCACCTGTTCTCTTCTCTGGCCAGCTTTATCCTCTGGGTCCTCTTTCCAGCCAGAAGATGACTGCTCCCTGAGATTAGAGAAAGAGATGCTGTCCTAGGGAGCCTGTCTTAGCTGGGGCCTCTGTCCGACTCCGCAAAACCAGCAGCCACCGGTGGCGGCGGGGGGGGGTCTGACATGAGCACCGGCTTGGAGGAGGCAGCTCCCTCTGTGAGACCCTGGAGGACATTCTAGGAGGGAAAAGAGGGGTTTAGGACGGGGGTCGCCCCCGCCCTTCAGTCGCTTGTGCTGTGGAGACACACGTGCCTTTTCAGTTCTGCTTCCCACACAAGTTTCCCTGTTTCTCTTTCTCTCACTCAGCTCCCCCAGAGCCCACAGGTGCCGACCTCAGGTAAGAAAGGCTTCCTGCCCGCACCCAGCATGGTGCACGCCTGTGACCCCGTTCGTCGTAAATGTTGCACTGGGAGCTTGGAGTTGAGCAACCGCGCCCGGGCCCCTGCTTTCCCTAACGAGGCTCCTTTCTGCCTGGCCTGTGTGCATCCGTCTTCACCCTGCCTTGTCCTCTCCCGCCTTGTCCTGGCACCGCCATGCAGCCAGCCTTGCACAGTGGCACAGATGTGCTCACACCTTGTCACCCCTGGGACATGACTGTCACCATGGTCCTCAGCCGGCAGCAAGGTGCTGTCTTAGTGGCTCCTCGGCCAGAGATGAGGGGACAGGCTGTCCCACGCCCGAGTCTTCCACTGACTTGAGGGCAGCAGTGGCTTATGTATCGGCTGAGTTCTGTGACTTTCCAGATTCCGGGCCGGCCTCACAGGGACGGGCATCCCGAACAGGAGGGAGGACAGACACATGGCAATTTCCTGGGTTGAAGCAGGAGGGGCCAGGCTTCCTCCCCAGAGGTCGACTTGCCCTCGCCTGCTGGCTTCCGTCCTGGGCTTGGCTAAAGGCTTTGTGTGTGTGTGGAGGGGAGGGGCTGGGGGAAGGCCAGAGAGAAAGCCACCCCAATGCTTACGGGCTGGGCTGCCCCAGCATCGCCCCACGTGGCCTTCGGACTGCAGGTCCTGTGGGCCTGGGCTCTTCCTGGGGCGTCCAGGGCCGGCCCCGGGGGCCATCTTGCCCAGGCAGAGCTCCAGTGAATGGTGTCCCGTGAGTGGCAAGGAAAGCAGCCTCTCGCATCCCCCCTTTCCGGGCGAGGGGTAGTGCCAGTGCGTCTGGCTCAGAACACTGGAGACGGAAGGGAGGGCCCCCAGTGTGCCAGGTGGGCTCTGGGTGCCCCGTCTAATTTTTATAAGTTTCCTGTGAGATGGGGCCAGACTTGAACTGTGGCCAAGGTAACCTGCCTGAGGCTTGCTGGAGGGATGAAGGGGCTCCGAGCCCACCCTCCCGCCCCTGGGGCAGCTCTGGTGCTGAGTTCACCGTGGTCCTGCTCTGCCTGTGCTGCGGGGTTGGGGGTGGTGGCCACTCCCCCCGATGGACATTTCTGTGGGCTTCCAGGCTCGAGGATGGAGACAAACAGAGCTTTCTAGTTACTGAGGGTGGGTGCTGTTATTTCGTGCTCCCTGTGCCCCAGCCTGGAACAGCTCTCTCCACCTAATTGCATGGTTCCAGGGCATAAGCCACTTCTACATTCTTAGGGGTGAAGATTCTCACTAGACAGTGAACACGTCTGGGGCTGGGACCATCTTATTCTTCACCAACTAGTGGTTGAGTGGATGGCTTCTTTTGCCAGTCAGGAAAATGAGAGGACCCCAGAACATCCCAGCATCTCTCCAACCTTTGAGGCTGTAACCTGGAGGCGGGAGGGGAAGCACGCGGGAGCGGTGCTCAGAGCCCCGCGCATGCGGCGAGCCCTGCAGCGGCCGTACAGTGCAGTCCGATCTCAGGGATTCTCATGGAAGCACTGGCGGCTGCTGGTGTTTCCCCATTTGTGAAGTGGGGAAACTGAGGCTCGGAGGGTTAGAACTCACACAGCCGGAAGAGCTGAATCATACACCCTCCTGCTCAAAGGCCAGTCCTGGTCACAGGGCTGGAGGGCGAGGGGGGCACAGCAGACAAGCCAGGCCCCTGGAGTTGCATGGAGCACAGTGGTCAGCTCCCTGGAGGGTAGGGGCCTGCGGGTGGACCAGTGGAGGAGACCCCATGTGACGCTCAGAGGGGCCGCAGACCGCAGGGTGCAGAGCAGGTCTCCCGGGGGAGGTGCTGCTTCCCTTGGGCTATGTGACGTTCACCTGGGGACATCCTGGGGACAACGAGGGAGAGGAGGCTGGGCACAGGACTTGAGTTTTGGGAACAGATGAAGTAATGGAGGAGACTGGAAAGGCAAACCCAGAGGGCTAGGTTTCTCTTGAAACTTTGAAGCAAAAATGACCCAGAATAGATGTATTTTGAAATATTCTGAGAGCGGACTTGACCAGTGTAAGTAAGGGGATTGTGTGGGCATCTGGAATTTGTGCAGCATCATCGATCTCTTGGTCTCACCCTGTTTACATGGTAATAGTGAGGCCCGCATGCAATCTGATGGAGAAACTGGGGAGAGATGCATTGACGTGTTCTAGCAACCATGTCCTCAGCAATTCTTCCCGTTTCTGAGAATCGATGCTTAGAGGAAAATCCACATGGAACGTGCCACCCACGCCTGAGTTCACAACTGTTTGTTGGCCGCGAACCACCCGTGGGGCACGATCCCTGAGGCTCTGTGATTGTGCGCTCACCCCGCGGGAAGGGGCAGGTGCTGCAAGCCCGACTGCTGCCCCCAGCACGTGGGGGGCTGTGGTTGGTCCCGGCGGGGCCTTCGCAGTGGGCGCCAGCACAGGCAGAGCGACCCTGGAGCAGACGTGCCGCTGGGATGTCAAAGGAACCCCTTCGGAATCACTTGACGGGAGGACGGGTCACAGGGAAGCTGTACCCGCAGGGCTCACTCTGTGGACGAGGGACTTGCACCCTGTGGACCCAGAATCTGTGGCCCACCGCCCCCAGCGGCCCTTTCCCCATCTCAAGCAGAGACTCCGGGAGCCGCTTGCCGGCGAGTGGCGGTTGCTAGGAAACGAGCTGAGGAGCTGGTGGGCCTGGACCAAGCAGGGCTCTCAGCTGCCTCCTCCCACCCGGAGCCCCTTCAGCTCTTGCTCTGACTTGAAGCCGAGTCCCTGAGAGAAAACAAGTGGGTCTGGTGGCCTTTCCCTTTGCGCAGTGAAGAGCCAGCAGACTCCCCCTGCACCCCGCCCCCGGTCTCCATGGGGCCCATCTGCTGTCCACGCTGTGGGAGGTGGCTTATGCAGGGAAGGTGGGCGCTGCCCTCTCTGCGGAAGGGAGTGGGTGGACCCCTCTTGGAGCATCCTTGGGGCGTCTCCCAGTCCCGGGAAGGATGCCCGTCTGCCACGCCCGCGCCCCAGTCCGCAGCCTGCCTGTCCTCACCTGAGGGCCTCCTCTTGAGCCACTGGCCAGCTCCTGCCAAGGCGACAGAAGGGAGTGGGGAGCCCTCTACCTGCCTCCACGGGGCCGGAGGGAAGCCAGTCGCTTCCAGGGGCTCCCGCTGGGGCACGGCTCCTCCCGGCCTCCGCCATGGCCTGAGAGCTACTGTTTATGTCCAGATCCTCAGATCCCTCCGAGCCATCGCCAGGACCCCTCTCAGGCTGACGGCAGGCAGGCCCTCTGCCCACCTCCCTGTCTCTGCCACACTCAGGGCCATGCTGTGGAATCGGGGGAGGGCTTGGCCGGGTCTCCCTCTTCCTCCATGCTGGGGAGGGGCTCCAGAGGCCTGGAACCAGAGCTGGTGCCTCACCCTGCCCTCCGGGGCCGAGCACACAGAGGGCATCCTACCAGCACTGGGGGTGCCCATAGGGTGACCTGCTGGCACTGAGCCCGTGGGGCTCGCTTTCAACGGGTACTCTCTGTGCTGGCACGTGGGGAGAAGGGGGTCTCCAGATTCCTCTCCCAGAGGGGCCCTTGGCAGCTCTGCACATGCGGCGCATGCCTGGCCCACTGCCCTTGGAGGGGCCGGCCCTCAGGGCTGGAGGCCAGGTGCTTCTGAACTGGTGGGCGGAGGTGTGCTCGGAGCAGGTGACGTGTTTGGGGGCAGTGCCAGTGCTACAGCAGCTGGCACCTAATTGCCTGACTGACTCAGTGATTAATCGACTAATTGGGACCTCAGCTTCAAATCCCCAATAACAAGGAGCTTTTGTGAAGAGTCTCAAAGCTAGTTCTTGAGAAAGTGACAGCAAGTGTGGGGCATAGATTTCAGAGTGAGAGGCCTCGGGCAGCAGCAAGTCCTGTCTGTCTGGAAAGGAAACCCACACAAAGTTCGCATGTTTCCCCCCCCATCCTCCCCCTTCCTCTCCCTCTCTCCTTTCCTCTCTTCTTTTAAACACCAGGAGACGAGCCACGGTGGCCTCATCATGGGGGGCTGCAGGGTGCGTCCCCCTCAGAGACCCCGGCTCCCGCAAGGGCCACCGTTGCGCTGGGGGGCGCGACCCTGCCTCCACAGACTGTTCTGTTTCTTGCTGATCCGTCAGCGAGTGTGGCCTGCCGGCCGGCGGGACCCCACAGTCCTCTGTAGTCAGGTCCGTGATCAATCAGATTAGACACATCAGTGTGTCTGGACAGAGGTCCAGAGTGGTGCCCCTTTGTGAGCCTCAGGAGCTCACTGGCGTCGGTGGGTCCGCACAGCCTTCCTTCCCAGGCTCTGGGAGAGCCTGCTCGGAGGTGGGGGGCTCAGACCCTGTGACGACAAGGTTGTCCCTTCTTGGATGGGGGCACCTTGCGGTGATACCTCCCGGGAGGAGCTCGGGCTCCCCCTGTTCCCACCACGGGTTCTCCGTCTCAGAAGCCCACAGGACCCTGACCTCAAGCCCCACACAGACCCCTTGCTGCCCTGGGGAGCTGACTGCTGGGGAAGTGGGTTGGGTGGTCTGTGGCTGTGACTGGAAGTTTCCAGAGCTTCCCACCATCTGGTTCTGTGGGGAGGTAGATGATGGTGAAGGGAGAGGGACCCCTGGAACTGTAAGGGGCCAGGCTTCGCCCCACCGAGGTCTCACGCAGCTCCTGGGTCATCGGCCCTCCTGGCTTCACCTCCCTTCATGGGAAGCTGGGATCACACCAGGCCGCAAGTTCTGGAGTGGGGTCTTTGCTGCCACCTGCAGCCGGGGTCCTGTGGCTTGGGTCAAAGCTGCACCTTTGCAGAGTTGTTCCTGCCGGGGGGGTTCGGCTGTGTGCCAGCGAGGGGCACGCCTGGCAAGGCCTCGCAGCATCTTGAAGGCCCTGGAGGATCCCCGTGTTTGTGCTTTGCCCTTGGGCCAGCTTCAGGTGCTGGCTCTGGGGGCACCCTGGAGCTTCCTTGTTCCCAGCCCCCTGGAAGCCTGGTGGTGGTTTGCCTGCAGTGGGAAAGACTCACTGTGGAAAAAGGAAGTCGTCCAGCCTTGATTTCATACACACAGATCTTTAATTAAACACTCTTATAAAGTTGTAATGAGCCATTCATTTACATAAATGGGGGTGAGTTATTTCATTAATTTTTTGCAAACTGCAAGCAGCCATTCTGAGATGAACTGTTTGGAGACAATCTTCTGCTTCCCCGGGTGAGGGTCTGGGGTGGGCCCCGAGATTCGGACCCTCTCCCCATGCCCCACGGGGCCCGCCCCCAGGTGACCACCCCTGCTTGTCTCCCCCCAGCTGTCCCACTCCCGGATGCACGGGCTCGGGACATATCCGGGGCAAGTACTCCAGGCACCGAAGGTAAGGAGGCTGGAGGGCCCTCAACAGGGTTCCTGGGAAAGAGGTTGGGCTGCTCTGCTGCTCTGGGACCCTTTGTGGGTCTAGAACCTTCCACCCCTGCTCTTGGCTGCCGAGCTGCGGTGGCCTCCCACGTGACCCTCTTACTGGGAGGCTGAGCGCGGCTGTGGCGTGCCTTTCCGTTGTCTCCCCTTTGGGGCTGCTGTGAGACCGGAGGAGTCTGTGCGGGAGAGCCCAGAGCAGAGCCGGCACACGCTGGGTGGCTCTTCTCACTGCTGTCATCCCGGGGGTCTGCTGGGCCTCAGGGGCCCCCGACTGCGGTGCCAGGCTCAGGAGGTGGGTGAGGGTGTGAAGGGTCTGGAGGTGAAGGAGGAAGGGCCTGGGCACTCCCGACGACCTGCCTGGGGGGCGGTGGGCACGGAGCAGAGCAGCCTGGGCCGGCCCCCACCCCCGGCCATCCCAGGGGGGATGACTGTGGCGTGGACAGGGCCGTTGAGGTTAGGCCTTCCCAGAGAAGCAGGAAGTGAAATTTAAAGCACAATCAGGGCCTTTTTAATGCGGACAATTACTGTAAAATTTTGAACACATCAACCTGCCAGTCTTGAGTTTGGGGCTTTGGTGGAGGGGTGGTGATGAGATGCAAAGAGAAATTTTCAGGACAGGGATAGCGCTGCAGAGGGTGAAGGCCGGGGGCCCGGGAGGTGCTGACAGGGTGGCCCGGCCTCCTCCCTCCCAGTTTACTGAGCTGCCCTCTGGCCAAGAAGAGGAAGCTGGGGGGCGCCGAGGCCGAGCACCTGGGGTCCAAGCGGAAGGCACACCCCCTGAAGCTGGCTCTGGACGAGGGCTACGGCGTGGACAGCGACAGCAGCGAGGATGCCGAGGTGAAGGGCGCCTCTGTTTCTGATGAATCGGAAGGAACTGCGGAGGAGGACGAGGCTGAGGCGTCAGGACAGGAGGAGATTCATCGCCCCGAGCCAGCTGAAGGTGCTTTGTTGCTCTTTCTCCCCTGAATAAAGGCGCTTAGTGTGGGCCCGGAGAATCGCAGCCTGTGAGCAGGCGGGGCTCCCGCGAGCGAGGAAGCCCTGCTGAGAACAAGCGCCTCTTGTCTGACGTTTGCAAGGCTTCCTGGGGAGGGGCTGGCGCTTGGGGCTCGGGGGGGGGGGGGGCCCAGAGGCTCATCTGTATGTGAGCATTGTGGACCTGGATGTGTGTCTGTGTGTGTGAGAGACGGTCGGACAGATGGATGTGGCTGTGCGTCTGTGTGGCGGGGTCTCAGATAGACCCGCCCCACTTGGCCTCAGGAGAGCCACCTGCAGGAGGGGCAAGGGGTCTGCTTGGCATCAGGGGAGATGGTGCGGATGTTCAGGGAAGATGGGCAGGGCAGGGGGAACTGAGGGGGTCTCCCTGCTGGCACCTTCTTTCCTGCGGGGCCCCCAGCCCTTGGCAAACACTAGTGCGAAGGTGGGACACGTCCATGTCCCGAGACCCTGGCTGACTGTAGGGTCCTGGGGATGTGGCTGAGGCCTGAGGCCCCAACCCCGCAACACCTCCAAGCTTCTGGTGCTCTCGCCTCTCAGGGCCTGAGGTGGATTTTTATTCATTTTGCAGCCACTCCAGGGAGGGTCCTCATACCCGCCTCCCTCCTGACGACCCGGCTCTGCCTGAGAGGGTGCAGGGCCAGGGGACTCTCGCTTGCTGGGTTTCTTATAAAGGAGGGAGTTTGGCGCTCAGGCATCGGCCCTGGCTTGGCCCCTCCTACAGTGGGAGGATGTGGGCTGGCTGCTGCGCCCTGGGGGGTGGTCCTTGTCGTTGATCCCAGGGGGCCTGGGTGTGGTGAGCACCCACTGCGTCTTAGCCATGGCAATTAAAAGCCTTAAACTTTAAAACCAGCTTTTGCTGTTTATCTGTTATGAAACAATTTTAAAAAATCTGATCCATTCTTTTTTTTTTTTTTTTGCCGTACGTGGGCCTCTCACTGTTGAGACCCCTCCCGTTGCGGAGCACAGGCTCCGGACGCGCAGGCTCAGCGGCCATGGCTCACGGGCCCAGCCGCTCCGCGGCATGTGGGATCTTCCCGGACCGGGGCACGAACCCGCGTCCCCTGCATCGGCAGGCAGACTCTCAACCACTGCGCCACCAGGGAAGCCCTGATCCATTCTTTAAGCTCCATTTTATGAAATGTAGATTCGCCTGATTTAAGAAAGTACACATAACAGGGAGGACCGTTAATCAAAAGTATCAGAGTAATTCTCAGCTTCAAAATACAGCGGTGGTTTCTCCCTCCACCTCCCAACATAAGTTTACTGTGACCTCCAGATCTGGGCAGAGGGGCTGACAAAAACGGCCACCCCGAGCCCATTTCTGGGGGTTTGGTGTCCCCCAGCGGCAGTGGGGCAGGCTGGAGGAGCCCCGCCTGGAGACCTGTCCTCTATTCCCCGTGTGCCTCCCACGCAGTTTCTGATTTTGTGCAGGAAGGAGCACCATCAAGGCTCGTTTCGGATCCAATCCCATCAGCAGCCTCACGGGCTCCTCCAAGGGCAGCTACAGCAGCTATCAGGAGATCATCGCAACTTCTCTCCTAAATTTGGGCCAAATCGCCGAAGAGACACTGGTCGGGGAAGACTCGGGCCAGGGGGCCAAGCGGGGCGCCGGCATCGTGCGCCTGGTGCGGGAGGAGGCTGAGGAAGGAGCCACCAGCGACGAGGGGGAGAAGGATGTCTTCATCCAGCCGGAGGACGCAGAGGAAGCGATCGAAGTCACCAGTGAGCGCTCCCAGGAGCTGCGTCCCCAGTCCCTGGAGGGTGTGGCCAGCGAGGAGTCCAGCAAGCAGAGGGTGGCCCTGGGCACTGAGCGGGGGGAGGCCCCGCCTGATGCGATCTGCCAGGAGCAGGCCCCCCCCGCCCCCCGCCCAGAGGCCTCTGAGCCCCGGCGCCCGGCGCCGCCCAGCCCCAGGCCCGCGTACTCCGTCCTCGTGGAAGTGCGCTCTGACGACAACGGGAAGGATGAGGACTCGAGGTCCCAGAAGTCCACAGTCACGGATGAGTCGGAGATGTACGACATGATGACCCGTGGGAACCTGGGCCTCCTGGAGCAGGCCATCGCCCTGAAGGCTGAGCAGGTGCGGGCCGTCCGCGAGCCGGGATGCCCACCCGCCGAGCAAGGCCCGCTGGGCCCGGGCGAGCCGGGGAAGGCGGCGAGGCCCCTGGATGCCGCCCGGAAGAGCTACTGCAGCAAAGGTAGGCTGGGCACCTGGCTCTGCCCCGCCCCCTCCCAGGGGTGCGCAGTCCCGGACCCACGGGCGAGTCCCGAGGTCTTTACGGGCTGGGGGGCATGGGCGGGGGGAGGTGGTGTGAGCCAGACAGAAGCCGCCTGTGGTCGGTGAGGCAGGTGGCCAGGCTGGGAGCACTGAGCAGTGCAGAGCAGGCCCAAGCCATGGAGGACAGTGGGACTGGTTCTCAGGGACCGACTGACGCTGAGGTGCAGACGCCCTGGACAGAGAGGCCGGCGACAGCGAGCGCAGGAAGGCAGTGCCCGGGAGAGGCTTGTGAACCCCTTAGGGTGCCCCTGCCTGCCCGGTGGTCTGAGGACAACTTCCTCCCATTTAAACCACACACACAGAGCCCGCCAGGGTCCTGCCCTCCCTGGGGTGGGCTTTCTGAGGATGTCTGTCACTTCTGCATTGTGGCTTCCCTACCAAAGGGGACGAATGACTCCGCTGGAAGTTTCCCTGGGACACTGGCTATGCTCTGGGGACCGTGTGTGTCCTGAGAGGCATTCCCTTCTGCCCCACACTGAAAGTGACCTCTCTGGGCCTGCAGAGGCTCTACGAGGTCAGTAACTGAGATTTGGGGTCAAATTTCTGCCCAGGCCTTTATTAGCTGCTTTGGGTAAGTGACTCAGCCCCTCGGACTCCGTTACTGTCAAATACAAAGGACGTGTCCTGGCAGAGACCTTGTCACACGGCTTTACCTCTCTGTGCAGAGGCCTGGCTCCCAGCCCGAAGCCAGTGGCCCTCGCATGACATTAGCAGGACAGGGCAGAAGGTGTCAGCCGCCATCCGGGGGGGTCCCCCCTAAAGCCCTGCGGGTCCTGCTGTTTGTGGCTTGCCGCAATCTGTGGGGAGCTTTTCCACGCGGACGGCCAGTGTGGACGGTCTCTGCAGGGTCCCCGTGCTGTCCAGCCACGGTCCCTTTTGGGCTCTTGGGCAGTCTGGTCACTCTCCTCTCTGGACAGCCAGAGTGAAGGACGGTGAGCTGCCCTTCCGCCTCCCTGCTCACCACCTCCCGCCCAGCTTCCCGGCTGCCCTCTGACGGATAGGCCTTGTGTGTTTAGATCCCTCAAGAGCTGAGAAGCGTGAGATCAAGTGTCCGACACCAGGCTGCGACGGCACCGGCCACGTCACTGGGCTGTACCCGCACCACCGCAGCCTGTCCGGCTGCCCCCACAAGGACAGGATCCCCCCGGAGAGTGAGTAGCTCTGCACGGCTCAGGCCGCCTCTGGTGTTTGGATGGTGTCCACATAGAGGAGTGGCCACCCAGGACCCTGTCCCTCTGGACTGGCACGTCCAGAAGCCCAAACTTGGGCCCTACAAGCGTGGCGACTTGGAGCACGCCCAGTTATTCACCTTGAAACGGCAGCCTGGATCAGGGCCCCTGGAAACCGGCCACAGACACGGGCACACAGGAGGGGAGGCTGGGCCCTGGAGCTGGGGAGGGGCTGCTGTCTGTGTTCTGAGGGCTCAGGAGAAAAGCTGTCCTTGCTTCTAGGCGAGGGGCAGCAATCGTGACCATTAAGTTTGTAAGGTTTCTGCCTCAGGGAGGCCAGGGTCGCGGTGAGAGGGGGCAGGCGTGGCCTGACTGAGCGGGGCCTGGGGCTCCTGCGCCCTCCGCGGCTGGTGGTGCTCACCGGCTCCCCCCCCCCGCCACGTTGTCTTGCAGTATTGGCCATGCATGAGAACGTGCTCAAGTGCCCCACTCCTGGCTGCACAGGCCAGGGCCACGTGAATAGCAACCGTAACACGCACAGAAGGTACGGGGCTGGGCTGGGCTGGGCTGGGAATGGTGAGGGCCATGGAGGGGGCTGCCTGCAGTGCATGCCCCAGCCTGGGACACGGTCTCCCTGTGTGCTGCCCTTTGGGGTGAGTGCACGGTCAGGGCAGACCTTTGGCGGGAGCAGAGCAGCACCTGGAGGGGTGGTCACCTGTGTCACTGTGAGTGGGGGTCCCGAGAGACCAGAGGGCGGCTGGAGGAATGGACGCACGCAGCGCAGGGAGGCCTGCAGCCTGTGGGGAGAGCCAGGTAGAGACCCTGTCCTGCTGAGATTCGGGAAACCTCTGGACACTAGCTTTTGCTCAAGGCAGAACCTCAGCAGCCGGGGCCGAGCCTGGCTGTTCTGTAGGGGTGCTGAGAGCCTGGTGCTTGAGTTGTCTGCCGTCTTCTGGTGAGAGGTCGGCCCCGCCCTCGCCCCGAGCCATGGGTAGCTGCAGCCGTGGCGGGGCGTGAAGTGGCTCCGGCAAGTGACACTCAGCTGGAACGACTAGCCAGAGTTTTTGAGGTCCAATCACTGAGAAGAGGCTAAATTCCCCAACACTGCTGGGATGATGTCACCTCTCCTGGCTGATCGCAGTTTCTCAGTTCTGACAGTGGAAGCTGCACCTGTGGCGTCTCGGATTGGGTGCTTTCCTGGGCAGGACCTGTGCCCTCCTCGTGCGACCCTGGTAGACCATGTCCTCCAGGGTCAGCACCCAGCCCGTGGCCCGTGGGCTGATAGACTGTGAGCAGCTCTGGTTGGTGGTGAGGGGAGAGGAGGGAGGTGAGAGGCGGCCCGAGCCCCGCACCCACCCAGAGGAGGTGCCTTTCCTCAGAGCCTTGAAGAACTTTCGGGTGCGTTTTGTCTCTGTGTCATTGGCTTAGAATTTCCAAAAACAGAAGCTGGCTGAGCAGCAGGTGCTTTGAAGGCTTGAGGACAGACCTGGGGAAAGGCCCCTCTATAGGCAAGGCAGCCTTCCCTGAGCTCCTGCTGGCGCCTGGCTCCCGGCTCAGATGGGTGGGGCCTGGAGGAGGGCTCAGCTGTCCTCCTGTCCTTTCTCTAGTTTGTCTGGGTGTCCCATTGCTGCTGCCGAAAAATTAGCCAAATCTCATGAGAAGCAACAGCCACCGACGGGAGACCCTTCCAAGAATAGCTCCAGTTCGGATCGGATCCTCAGGTGAGTGAAATGAGTCACAGACCGGGAGGCGTGTTTTCGACCCCGGGTCCATATGCCTGACGTGCAGTGAGGCCAAGCTCAGAGTCTGGAGCGGAGAAGGTTTGTTACAAGAGCCGAGCCAGGAGGACGGGCGGCTCGTGCTCCGAAGACTCGACTCCCCGGTGGCTTTCAGGCAGGGTCTTTACAGCCAGTGTGAGGGGAGAGGGTCCAGGATGGGTGATCAGCTCGTGGACCTTCTTCTGATCAGCTGATGGTGAGGGAATCTCAGCCTTACGGTTCCAAGCAGTCTGGGGTCCACGTGCTTGCGGTCACCATGTCATCACCATCCTCCACCGGGTGGGGTCTTAGTTTCTGCAGAGTGACTCAGAGATACGTGTCAGATTGTTCCCTCTGTCTCTTCAGGAGGAACTAGGAGCCCTGTGACTCTGTTGTCCTATTAACTGACTGAACCTGCTCTTTGGAACTGGGTGGGAAGGCCTAGGGGGCTTCAAGACTGTTTTTTTTTTTTTTTCCTACAAACGAGAATCAGGGATGCGCAGGGGCTTTTTTACCCGGGAAGGCCCTGCAGGGTCCTGCTAGGCTTCATGGGCTGCCTCCGCAAGTGCCCAGGGGGCTTCTCGCCTCTCCGCCGCTGTGTGTGCGTGTCCATGCTCGTGTGTATGTGCACGTGTGTGCTGGTGTCTCCCAGGGGGGACTTGGAGGGTGGTTTCATGGGCCCCGGCACCCGCACGGCTGCCCCTGCCTCGCTGTCCCCGAGGGTGTCTGATGTCACCGCCTGGGATTGTTCAGGGATTTGTTTGTGGAGTCGCTGGTCCTGTTTGGAGAGAGTGGGTTGCACCAGCCCAGGACCCCTGCTGTCTAGGGAGCCCTGGGAGCTGCTCACCCCAGGACGGACCGTGAGCTGGGGAGTGGAGTGGGTGCCAGCGGCACCCTCCGGAGTGCCACTCCCCGTGACCCTTGAGGTGCCGTGTGTTTAGGTGCATATGCACATGTGTGAGTGTGTGTGCACCCGTGTGTGCGTGCAGACACGGCTCATCAATGAGGGGGCTTCTGAAGGACCCTTCAGAGCGAGTCTGCTTGGTGTGGCCTCACCCGCAGGCCCCTGTAGGTGCCACAAACAAGGCCAGAGGCTGAGGAGCTTTCCCAAGGCCACACGCTCCCCAGCAGCCTGCCTTCAGAATCTCCTCCCAGTGGGACCGGTTCTCTGGTGCCCACCGTGCTGGGGGACTCTCCCTCACCCCCGTGTCCTTGCTCAGCGGACTCCCTGCTCCCTCATCTCTGAGGAGCTAGAACTGACAGGTTGTCCCGTCTAGACTCTCTGTTCCACGTCTGTCTCCCAAAGGAGAGTGTGGGAGACCAGGGCCACCGTCCCCTGCACAGGCCCGGCGTCCGGCAGTCACGAGCATGGGCGATGGCACAGACCATGGCCTGGAGGTGGGCGGGCCACCTCCATCACCCAGCTGTCCCTTCCCTGGCATGTGCCGGGCAGAGCCACTGCCTGAGCAGCGTGGCCTCCCACCTTGGCCTCAGGGTCACGTGCAAGTGGTCTCCGGGCTGGGCCTCGCCCTCCCGCACTGGGGCGCCCTGCACTCCAGTTGGCTTCTTTCAAGCGGGTGGCGCTCACGGTGGTGGAAACTGCTTCTTTCCTCCATCTTATTCCTGTTCCTCTGGCTTCTTGTCGGGTTTCTTGCCTTGATCCAAGTCACTGACAAAATGTCAAACTACCAGGCAGGTGAGGCTTGGCGAGGCCAGGGTGGGGGCCAAACAGCTGCCAAATGTGGGAGTTGTGCCCCGGGAACGTGACTCCGTTTGTTTGCCGGTAAAAGTGGGACGACAGCGTTATCGACTTCAGAAGTTCCTCATGAGGCTGGATGAGGCAGGGCCGTTTTGTTTCCGGGCCCTCGGTGAGGAGGCCAGATGGTGGCAGCTGTGGCCGCGGTGCAGAGCTTTCCATCCAGGCTCCACGTGCTCCGTGGAGGGGCCAGTACCCCAGGGTGTGGGGCGAATCTCTGCAAAGCTCTGTGGGCATCACGGACACTGAGTCTGCTGCTGGCGGAAGCCCCGGCTGAGGAAGCCACCAAAACGTGGCACAGACATTAAGTTTAGGACTTGTCTCCCCCCGGGGGTGCCTGAGCACTCACCAGCCACTTCTCCGATGCCACTGGCTGGTTCAGAGGGGCCCCCGCCCTTGCTGGGGAAGGAGAGCCGTCGGTTTCCCAAGGCCCTGCAGAGCCAGCCTATCGTGGTTGCAGGGTCTTCCTGGCACCCGGCTCATATTTTCGGGTCACACCTAAGTTCTCGTAGTGCCTGGCGCCCTGGGGGCCTCACCACTGGCTCCTTCTTAATTCCGCCCACCACCTTCTCCAGACTGAAGTCACTGCATGGCTCTCCCAGGCCTCCTCCGCTCTTCTCTCAGCTGACTGGTACACAAGCCCCTCCGCAGACGGGTACAGACCTTGTGGCCTTTCTGTGCCGGCCTGGTCTTCCTCCCGCCGTGGCTCCAGTGCTGTCAGGGCTGGTGTGTTCGCACCATCTCTCGTGCATTTAAAAATCTGAGCTCTTTCAGAGCTTCAGTAACGGTGGCTGAATGCTTGCAGCGTCCTTTCATGCGTGTCTTTAACCCTTGCAGCAGCCCCTCCAGGGGCATCTCAGGTGACTTTCAGCAGACGACCTGGAGGGCTAAGGGCTGAGTCGGCCGCCCTGAGGCTGATTCTCAGAACCTCCTTCATGTTCCCTCCAGGCACCCCAGCTCCCTCCCCTCTGGGGAACTGTAAGTTATTCCACCACCAGAATTCTGCCTCGGCTGCCTGCCGCCCTAAGGATGCTCCTCTAGGGCTCCCTGCAAAGGGCTCAGAAACCTGCTCTCCTCATTCCCTCTGTTGACGCGGTCCGCAAGGGGACACGCACTGTTTCTTCAAGGCTCCTAGTGCTTCGTCCCTGTGGCAATTCTTCCTGCACATCAGCCCCTAGGCACCCTGTAGTGGTGGATGTGAGGGAGGGCCTGCCTGGGTCTCTGTCCGCGCCGGGGTCTGAGGGATGGCTGGGCCAGGCCATGGCACGGGGCATTGGGATGAACAGCACAGAGTCCTTGCGTCCTGTCTTCATGATTCTCATCTCCGTCTCACACCCCAGGCCCATGTGCTTTGTGAAGCAGCTTGAGGTCCCTCCGTATGGAAGCTACCGGCCCAGCGTGGCCTCCACCACACCCAGGGCCAACCTGGCCAAGGAGCTGGAGAAGTTCTCCAAGGTCACCTTTGACTACGCAAGTTTTGACGCTCAGGTTTTTGGCAAGCGCATGCTTGCCCCAAAGATTCAGACCAGCGAAACCTCACCGAAAGCCTTTAAATGTAAGTTGGGGAAAGCTGCTCCCGGAGGTGTAGCGTCTGAGGGGCAGTGGAGGGGGAGCCCTCAGCAGCAGCGTGTCGGTCCTCTCCACGCTGGGGCCCAAAACGCCCCAATCCCCCGTGGCGGATTTCTCAGAGTCCGTGTCTCACCCACGTTGCTGCCCACACACTCACCATCAAACTGGATGTGTCTCCTCACCACACGTGAAACAAACCCAAGTCCATTATGCCGTGCGTGTCCACAGACTTAACGACGTCGCTGCCGTGGTTCACCCTACGAGCGTGCCCTCCCCTGGCTGTCCGTTCCCAGCCAGTTTATCCCAGCTCAAGGGCTGGGGGTCTGGGAGGGTCAGACAACCGCTGTGCTGAGCCTGGGTACCCGACAGATGCTTCCTGCGCGGGGACCATCTTGCTGGATACAATGTGCCATTTGTGACATTAGCAGCAAACTTTCCGGGTGCTCGTCGCACTAACAACATTCATTCCGCCAAACCTTCCGGAACAAGCCTTCCTGGCTTTTTTTTGGAGGGGGGAGGGCTCACTTATTGCGCTAATTTGTGAGTTGCAAGCCTGTTAGCCCTGGAAATACAAATAGCATGGAAAAGCGCCCCAGTGCACTTGAGATTGGAGCTGGCGGCCCCTGGTGGCTGTTGTCAGCCCCCAGAATTGGCAGTGATGAGTTTCCTACAGGTTAATGATACAATTACCACCTGGAGTGCGAGTGTCTCTCCGGCTTGTTAGGACTGGGGGCCTCATGCCTTCCCGCAAGGCACCCACTTACGCTGGGGCGCTGGAAATCTGCTGGCGATATCCTGATTACTCAGAAATCATACCTGAGGGTGACCTTATGGTTATAGCACAGTTACTAGAAAAGATAACGTTTGATGCCTTCCTGTGTCGTGTTTATTTGAACACTAATGTCATTCACCAAAGCTGTGGCTCTTGGCGGAGGGGGGCGGGGGGCGACACCGAAATCAGCCTTTTGAGGCGTTGTGATAAACTTTTCCTACTTGAATGATATTCCAGACACTCCTCCTACTTGCAGACTTTAGTCTCTCAATGAGCATCACCGACAGACAACTTGTTTGTTTGAAATATCGGGGGCGCTCGAACGTCTTCGGAGGCTTTGCCCTTTCTGCCCAAGTTAGGTCAAGATAGAAACGGCCTTCTCAATGCCCGACAGGGGTGAGGCTGCGGTGGGGCCAGGCTCCCGGCCCTGGCTGTGCCCTGTGTGCTTGCTCCCAGCCCCCCCGAAGTACCCCACCCCCCACCCCATGTCTGTGTGGCCGCCTCCCGTTCAGGTTGTATATCAGCCTGCTCTTGTTCCCTTTTTGCAGCCAAACCTTTCCCAAAGGCCTCTCCCCCCAGGCCCAGCCCCTGCACTTCGTCCTCTTCTACAGGCTTCGACTACGCCCATGACGCGGAGGCCGCACACATGGCCGCCACGGCCATCCTGAACCTCTCCACGCGCTGCTGGGAGATGCCCGAGAACCTCAGCATGAAGCCGCAGGACCTGCCCAGCAAGGTTGGTGTGTCCCCCCCCGCCAGGAGCCCCTGCTGACGCAGAGAAGGGGGTTGGGATTTGCAGTCAGGGGCACGTGCAGCCTGCACGAAGGGGGCTCAGCAAACCCAGGGTCTACTAGGTGATTACCACTCTTTCCTCTTCTCCCTCCTGACCGTTGACCCTGCTGGGCAGAGACATTGGATGGGTCCCCTCCGAACTCCGTGCGCTGTGCCTAAGGGGGCCCAAGTGGCTGTGCACACGTGTGTTCCCATATCTCGCCGAGTCTAAGGACCCTGCACGTGTTTTGGGGCCCACACGAGCTGCCGTGTCAAGGGTCTGGTTTTCCGGCGCTGGAAGCCTCAAGGCAGTGGGCAGAGCGTGGCCCACGTCAGCCTCAGGACGCTCTCTTCCCGCGTAGGCTCTTCTCTTCTTGTTTGGGTCTGCTCTCTTTGGAGGGAGACGCTGTCTGGGCTTCCGGTGAGCTGGGTAAGGGACCAGAGGCACGCGTGGGAAGGGGGTGGGGTCTGACGCAGGCGTTACCTTTGCAATGCAGGCCACGGACATTGCGGTGGATGAGAACGGAACCCTGGATTTGAGCATGCACAGACACCGCAGGCGGGAGAACGCTTTCCCCGGCGGCGGTGGCGGCCCCGGTGTGACCTCGCCTGATGCCTGCCAGGGCCAGAGCATCACGGCCCCCAGCAGCTCCGTGGCCTCGCCCCAGTCCAGCCACGCCTCCCGCCAGGACGAGTGGGACCGGCCCCTGGACTACACCAAGCCCAGCCGCCAGCGAGAGGAGGAACCTGAGGAGGTGGGTCCTGGGGTCCTGAGCTGGCAGAAGGTCGAGCAGGCGCTGGTGGTCAGTCTGCCTTACCCGAGGGCGGGTGTGAACGCACTTTCGCTCCAGGCAGAGCCTCCGTGCGTCCTGCCCCTTTCCACCCAGGGTCCTGCACCCTTTGGGCAGCTAAGCCCACCTTCTTGGAGGGATTTTCACCATTGGGCCAGTCTGTGGCCTTGTCCCCTCGGAGAGAGAGGTGGCCTTCTCACCTCTGCAGAATCAGTGTTCAGCACCAATGCGGTTCTCCGAGAGCACGGGGAGGAGAAGGGCTTTTGTTCAGACCCCACGGGGGATGATTCGGGAGCGGCTCCGAGTTCCTCGTTTCTGTGGGCCTCCCACCGACCTGCTGTGTCCAGATCAGGGACACCCTGAGCTCTGGCAGCAGCCTCTTCTCACTGTCACCAGGACACTTCAGGCGCCTGGCTCCCTGGACGGAGGCAGGAGAAAACTCCTGGACTCAGGAGCCCCTTGGGTGGCCAGTGGCCAGAGTCCCAGGACAGTACTGCCTGGTGAAGGGCCGCACACCAGGCCGCTGTGTTGGAGCTGTAGTCTGGGGGCAGTGGAACATTCCCTTCCCAGTTACTCCACCCAGCTGAGATGGGGGCTGATGCAGGGCTTCTCCCCAAGGAGAAGAGCCTCCCGAACAGCAGAGCCCTGCTCTGAGGGCTCAGACCAGGTGGCCTCTGCACAGTGTGGACAGGCCTGTGGGTGCCCCCCCAGCCCTGCCCTCCTTGCCAGCCCCCATGCCCAGGAGGGCAAGGGGGGCAAGCCCCTGTGCAGGAGTACGGGGTGGTGAGGGTTCCTCTGAGAGCCCAGCCCCTCCGCAGTCCCACCCTCAGGGCCAGCTAGGGCCCCTCTCTCTGCAGGCTTCGCATGCAACCCCACTTTACAGAGGAGCCGACTGAGCCTCAGGTCTAGGTCTTCTGCCTCAGTCACATGGCTGCAACTCAATGTCTGGCCTCAGAAGAGGGACACCTCTTCAGAGGGAGCCCCCAGGGGAGGGAGGCTGGCTGAGGGTGCCCACCCGGGGCCGACAGGAGGGCTTCTCCCTGGCTGGTGGGCCCCGCCTTCCTGTTCCTGTTCTGGGCCACCAGCGTAGCGTCCCCACGTCTGCTGTCACCCTATTCAGTTCTGCCCCTCGGCCCCTCCTTCGGCTCCTTCCCTTTCCCTGCCCCTTTCTTTGACCCCCAGCTCAGGCTGGCCTCTCTGGCCACGCTGCCCCCCGCCCCCTCCACGTGCCCTCTGAGCATCCTCATCCCCTCCCAGGACTGTCATGTCCTCTGTGGATGACCCTGGTCTCAGAGGTCCTGTGGTCCCTGGCCACAGAGGCCTGCTGCTCTGCCCCATGGTCGACAGTCCACTCTCCAGCAGGAAGCCTCAGCTGACCCCCAGGACCTTCCTCTCCTCCCCTGTGCCCTGGGCACAGGTGCCCACGTCCTATTGGGTGACCCCCCAGAAACACCTCCTGCATCAGGCCTTCCCAGTCCCTCTACCATGGCCCTGGATTCCCTGCTCAGACTCTCCTTCTAGCTCTGTCTGAGGCTCCTTGACCATCCTGGGTAGGGCTACTGCCCCACTCTTAACCTTGCCTCACCCAACTCTGGCAGCAGCCCCACCTCAGGTCCCCCTAACACCCCAACACCCCTGGCCCCCGTGTCTAGGGGCCTCTGGGACGCTCCCTGCTCTGGAGCAGCCTCTACCCCTATGCTTCTGGGAGGCCCCCGTTTCTCCTGCAGACTGGGCTTGAGTTGAGGGGCTTCGTCCACCCAGCTGCGCCTTGTTCAGTAATAGTAACAGTGGCGACAGTGACCTCGGCACGACATGGTGCCGAGGACCCTTCCTCCTTCCATCCCCAGACGTCCTGGGAGGGGCAGCTATTCTTTCCAGTTGAAAAGTGTGGCGCCCAGGAGGTTGGACGGCATGCCTGGGACACACAGCAAGTACCAGTCCTGAGATCTGAATCGTGATCCACCACGGGGGTAGTGGTCTGCTGCAGACTGACCTGTAGGGCACTGGCCTTCCTGACTCTCGTGGACTCCTTCCCTGCGCTCGGACGCAGGGACTGTCCTTGTTCACCCCTGCATCCACAGCACCCTGCCCTTGGGTGGCGATTCAGCACTTGCAGGCCCCGCTTTTGAGGCCAAAGTGCTTATTCGGTGCCTGCTGCGGCCCGGTCGTCGTGCTGGCTGGGGTTCGGTAGGGCCAGATGGTCCCGAGGTCGCTGTGATTATTTTGTATCATACTCTGTGCATCGTGCCGTCTCATCCTCAAAGCATTTCAACAAACACTTCCTTAGTGCCACTGCCTACTGAGTGCGTTCCCAGCCCCAAAGGAGCCGCCCTCGGTGTACACTCTGGCGTGTAGATTGCAGCCCAGGGCGGGTAGTTGGAGGTGACCCACCTGCCTGAGTCCGCGGAGGGCGTCAGAAGCTGCGGTGCCGGGCAGCGCCCGGGTCTCCTCGTTCCCGGGCAGCTCAGGAGCAGTGGCTGAGGTGAGGCAGCACCCCAGCCCCTCGGGGCGCCGTTTCCTGTGTCTTCCTCCTGCTTCCAGAAGACAGGAGACTCCGGAAGATGCCTCTGAAAGGCCCCTCTCCCTCAGCCCCCGGGCCGGGCGCCCGGCCCCCCGCCAGCCGGTTGAAACCTCTCCCTGCTGGTCTTTTGCAGTCAGAGCCAGCAGCCCATTCTTTTGCTTCTTCTGAAGCAGATGACCAGGAAGCGTCGGAGGAGAATTTTGAGGAGAGGAAGTACCCCGGGGAGGTCACCCTGGCCAACTTTAAGCTGAAGTTTCTCTCCAAGGACATAAAGAAGGAGCTGCTCACGTAAGTCCCCACCTTGGGCGGCGGGACCCCTCAGGGCACCGCCACGGCCCTGAGAGGAGCTCGTCTCGGTGGGAGCGCCCCGTGCTGACCGTCCTGCTGGCCTGGCTGCCTTGGTGGGCAGAGGCTGGGCCTCCGCTACTAGGCCCCTCCTGGGCCAGGCAGCGGGGGAAGGCGTCCTCTCACCCCTGCACCACGCGGGCCTCTAACCCACTCCTTCAGGCTGATAAAGAGTGAGGGCAAAAGCCCCCGTCTGGCCCACAGAGCAGACAAGGGCCGAGGGGAGGGACCGCCCCCGAGCGCCCGCTGTGCTCCTGGCCCTCGCGCCCAGGCCTGAGGTGCGCTCTGCCTTGGGCTCCGTGACCTCAGCTCCGGCAGCCGAGTCAGTTTAACCAGGTGCCACTGGAGAGGGGGCGGCTACTGGTAGACGTGCGCTACCCCACGGCCTTCTGGCCGGCCCCCACTAAGAACCACCTTCCCTAGGGGGCATGAGAGGCCTGGCCCCTGCCCCTCAGGTGATCCAGCCCCCACCGACGCTTAGAGTCTGTTCCTGGGGTTCCTCTTCCTGCCCCGAACCCCGCCAGCTTCCAGCTTCCTCCTGCCCTGTAGCTGGCTCGCCCCAGGGTGGCTCTGGTCTTGTCCTTGGGGAAGGCCCTGCCACGTCAGGAAGGGGCTCCCTGCACACGCATCCCCCAGCACGCACACGTGTGCACGCACAGCACGTCTGCTTCGGAGGCACCCCAACTTTAAGCTGAGCTTCACGTGGGTTCCCTTTGCTTCTTGAGTTAAGTTGCGTGGGAGAAGCTTATAGTCGGAGAGGCGAGGGCCCGGCCCTGAGGGCTGGTGGGGACGAGACGCTCCTTGGCTTTCGGGTGAGCCAGAGGCAGGTGGCAGCCGCCCTCTCCGAGCGGGCTCAGCCTGGGGGGCGGGCCTGGCGGGGGTGCCTCGCTCTCTGTTCTGACGCTCTGTTTCCTTTGTCCAGCTGTCCCACCCCCGGCTGTGACGGCAGTGGCCACATCACTGGGAACTATGCTTCCCACCGCAGGTTCGTCCCCCCACTCGGGTCCGGCCCGGCCTGGGTGCTGCGTGGTGGGTCTTCCTCCTCTGCGCCTCTGCTCCCCCTCTTGGCTCACCCCGATATCCCATCTCTTCTCTTTCAGCCTCTCTGGTTGCCCTCTTGCTGACAAGAGCCTCAGAAACCTCATGGCTGCCCATTCTGCTGACCTCAAGTATGTCTGCCCTCCCGGCCTCCCGTCTCTTGGGTGGCTTCCTTGCTCTGCTCACTCCTTCCATGAGGCTCTGGCCAAAAGCAGCCTTCTGCGGGGCTCTGGCACAGGCCAGCCCCAGCCTGAGGCCCGGGGCCGTGGGGCCGAGAGGCAGGGCCACGGAGGGGCTCATTCTGCTTGGCTGGGCTGTCGCCGCTGCTGCCTGTATCTCCCTGCTCTGAGTGCCGCTGTCTGCCTGCCCCCTTGGGCCCAGGGCCGCTACAGGCTCCCGCGCTCCCCTCTGAGGGCCGACGGCTGGGAGGACCAAGCAGGTGTAGGGCCTGGTTGCGGCTCGTGGTGGCCTGGCCCGTTCTCTCCCTCTCCTGAGGAGCCCTGCCGGGCTGTCTGGGCCTGCTTTCCTCCTGCCGTGGAGATTCGGGAGGAGTCCCGAATTGGCCTTGGCTTGTAAGTCTCTCCGTGACTCGAGGCTACAGGCCGTGCGGCTCTTGCTAAGTGAGCTGGATGCTGGTGACGGCAGCGGTAACTCTGTGCGCGTCCCTCCTCGTGCAGCCCCTTCCAGCTGCTTCCGTCTTGGCCCCTCGTGCCCTCGCCCCCACGCCTCTCCTCCATGCTCACCCTTTCTTTGGCTGTGCCCTGTCTCTGCTCCCCCTGCCCCTGACGTCTGGGCAGGGCCGCCCTGTGGCACCAGCCACTCTCCTTGATGGTCTTGTTCAAGCAAGGAGCAAGGACCCAGAGGTTTCCGGCTCTCAGCGTCCTCGCGGGGCTGGACCCGGGGCTGTGATTGCCTTTGGTTTCATGCCTTGAGCTGGGCTAAGCCCTAAGCCACAAGGTGCTGGCTCTGGATTTCCAGGCTGAGCCGAGGTTGTGGAAGGAGGGCCCCCTCTTGGCCCCTCAGGTCACCCCCTCTTCAGGGGGTTCCTACCGCCCTGGGCCTCTGTGCTGGGGGTCTGAATCCAGGCCGGGTTTCCCCGGCCCATCCCCGTCTGAGGCCAGAGAGGAACTGGGGCTCTGGTGCCTCTAAGGTGAGGAACCACGGTTGCCGCAGGCTTCTGGCGACCTGAGCTGACTCGGAAACGGGGCAGGAAGCTCCAGCTCTCTCAGAGGGTCCGGTCCTGCCGGCCTCATTTCTGTGGCTCGGGGGAGCCTGTCTGGTCCTAGCAGCCGGGAGAAGTGTGGCGTTGCCTCTTTGACCCGTGGGGCCTTCCGTTCCGACAGGCAAGGCTGGGCAGGGGTCATGGACAGAAGCGTCTTTCTGGGAACTATCGGCTTTGATACCTGCATGTTCTGAGGCTCAGCTCATCATGGCAGCTTCACACATGTGCTCACTCACCCCGTGTCCAGCCCCAGAAAGGCAGTGAGGCTCTCAGTCCCGTAGGTTCGACGCACTCTTCCCCACCGTCCTCTTCCCGCTTTCCTTCCTCTCTTCTTTTACCATCTTTCTCGTGATCCTTTCTCCTACTATCTTTTCCAATTCGACCTGCTTTTCTAACTGATCAGTTTTCATGGTTTTCCAGTTTGAAGGCCTGCCTGAGTGGTGGTAGAATTCTAGAAGTGACCACATACCCTCAGTAGCCCTTTTCCTGCAGAGCCGTTAGTCAGGGCTCCTGGAAGGAGCACGCAGACTTGGTCTGGGTCCAGGAATGTGGCCGACAGGGAGGGTCAGTGCCCTTCTAAGACTGAGAGCCTGTGAAGAACTGTAACCCAAACTTGTCTGGAAGTTAGCAATGGAAAGTTTTCCTCGTGTGAAAACAAATCACTCCCTAACTCCCTCCGACGCGCTTTTCTCCCCAAAGGGTTCCTTCCGTGGAGCGTGCTCCTTGCTTCTCGCAGGCCACAGTGTGGGTGTGGCCTGGCTCCCCCATGCTTCTCTCTCCTTCCCCCGCTCGGTGGGGGTTTGGCACCCTGATCAGCCTCGTGGCAGTGCCAGCTGAAGGTGACCTGTCCACGGGGGGCAAAGGCACCTGTGCCTTGCAAATGAGTCATTTTTGGTGGCCCTCCATCAACACCTGGTTTGTGGTGACAGTTGCAGGCGATGTGTTTTCTGTGTTTCAATCAAATCCCAAGGGCGTTTGTTCTTCCCATCCACGTGCCCAGTGTGGTCAGGAGCTGGGGACTCGGCTGCCTTGGGCTGCGCAGCCCGCTCCATGTGTGGGCGTTCAGAGTGCGGCCACACAGCCTGCAAGGGCGTCATGGGGGAGCTCTGCACGGGGTGGGGGACAGCCCCCGCCACCCCGCCCCGGCCACAGGACAGGGCTGGGGGTGGGGTGACGTCTGCTGTGCACCAAGCGGCATGGATTCTTTGTCTTGCCCAGACAACGCACTCAGAACAGAAGGTGGGAGGGTTCCTGGAGCTGGCCCTGGGGTTACCCAGGGCCATAAGAGTGGCCGACGCTACTGGCGCCCAGAGCACACACCTGCTTTTCCAGCCGTGTGACGTCATCCTCTCTCGGACAGGACTCTTGGGGAAAAGCCGTTACATCAGGCCAGCAAGGAGGGTGGGGCTGCCCCGCCTTCCTGGAGGGCCCCAACGTGCGTGTTCTCGCCGAGTCGCTTCCCCCAGACCTGAGACCCACTCACAGGCACCACCAGAGGCTGCAACTCGCAGGGGTGTCACCCGCAGACCAGAGCTGTGCTTATGGCCGCAGAGGCCTGGGACTGCTGTGGACCCGCCGTCCTGGCCACTGCCTGCAGCACCCAGCTTGTGTGTTCCGAAGCTGCGAAAGACCAGGAGGGAGAAGAGTGTCCTTCCAGAGGGTGTCACAAGGCCCGGGCCTCAGCGCAGAGAGCCATGCGAGGGACACCCTGGTACCCTCAGTGCGGCCCAGAGGGCCTTTCTGAGCAGCTGGCGCCCTGGGACCGCGGGCCACGCAGAGACGCAGAGTGTCAGAGCAGGAGGTCCCAGCAGCTGGGGGTCATTTGAAAAGGGTGATGCTTACCTGGACAGAGGTGGTGGGTGGTTTCCGTTAAAACACAAAAACCTCTTTGCCCCAGATGTGGGGGTTGGAATGTGACCACACGTGACGGGCAGGAGGTGTCCCAACCTCAGTGGGGTCTGAGTTACCCCAAAGCCCGACAGGAGGGAGATTGACCCGTTGGCCGGCTGCCAGGCCAGGGAGGCGCTGACGTGTGGCACTTGGGGCAGGGGTGAAGAGAGGGGCCAAGAAGGAGGCTTCTGGGCATCTAGCCCCTCCGTGTTGCCATGCCAGCCTGAGATGGGCGGGCAGTGTTGCCTGCTGACGGCTGCCGGAGCCTGGGCGCGAGGGAGCCCTCTGTTGATTGATGGCCACCCGTGTCCTGGCCCGCTGGCGCTCGGCCCTCTGTCCTTCTGGGTCCACGTTTGTGCTGAGGAATGGCCTTGGCTCCACAGTTCTCTCTCCGTGTGAGGATGGAGCCAGGAATGGCAGATAAGCACCCAGTGAGTGCCAGCCTCTCCAGATGCAAGCACCAAGGTCCTGCCGGGTCCATAGGACGAAACCACGCCCTCACGAGGGACACGGCACAGGCGGCAGATCCACCCTGGAGGAGGCCTCCTGAGGACCCACCTGCAGGATCGGGTGCTTTCTCCACTGGCGCCAGCAGGAACGGATTCATGTTTCTTCAGTGGACATTCAGGGAAAAAATAAGAAAACCCAAGCCGGTGTATCAGAGGGGAAGTTTTACCTTCTATGTGATACATTCATCAAGCACTTGGGGTGTACCCAGTTGGGCTTTTGTGGTTTGTTCCTCCCCTCCCTCCCCTCGGCTGGTGCCAGCCATCCCTCGAAAGCCCGCACCCGTGTGATCTCGGCACTCACCAAGTAGGACTCACGCCCCGACGTCGCCACTTCTGGGGGTGGCAAGTCTCAGTGCTGTCTGTTCGTGCTCACGACGGTGGCAGCCCTCGGTGGGAATAGGCCGTCTTCCTCCAGCAAGCTCAAGGAGGATGAACCGGTCCTAGATGTGAGGTTTGCATCCTGAGCGCTTGTTTAAAGGCCCACATGTGTTCTGGAACCTTCTAGTCCAGCCTGGTCCTCTGCAGGAGGCTGAGTCAGGAGCCCATCATCCCGCAGTGGAAACGTGCTCTCCTCTCCGCCCCCCGGGCCCCCTTGGGGAGCGTGGGTGGCCAAGCTCTGAGGCCCGGAGGTCGTGGCAGCAGGCCAGCCGGGACACACGTGGCCATCTGTGAGACCTTAGTGGGTAGACGACTTGTAGGGGGCTGAGTACAGAGGCGTCTTCTGTGGCCAAGTGACTTCCGCGGCTCTGGTCCCAGCTCCGCTCTCCTCCGCAGGTGCCCCACACCCGGCTGCGACGGCTCCGGCCACATAACGGGGAACTACGCATCGCACCGGAGGTGAGCCTGCCGTGCCCTGGGTGCCAGGCCGGAGCGGGTGGGGACGGTTTCCTCCTCAGACGAAGTTCCAGGCTCCAAGTAAGACATTAACGTTGCTGCATCCAGAGACGGTTTCGTCCCTTTCATGGGAACTACCAGTGTTCCCAGAGCCTGATCAGGGCACCCTCTGACCAGAGCTGGGGGCTCACGGTGCCGCCTCCTGCATGTGGCTCTGCTGCCGGCGCCCGCCAGGGCTGCTGTCACAGAGCTTAAGGGGAGGGGTGAGGCTGGGGGGTGTGAGGCTTTGCTGTCCTTGGACCACTGTGGCATTGTTTCCTCTTTCAAAACCAGCTTGTCAGGCTGCCCTCGTGCCAAGAAAAGCGGAGCCAAGGCTACACCCGCAAAGGATGACAAGGAAGACCCTGAGCTGATGAAGTGAGTCCAGGTCCTGCCGGCCTCTTGGCTGCTGTGCAGACTTGGGGTTTTCCGGTATTTTTTATAATTTTAAAAGCTCCTTCTAGATTCTGTTTGCATTAATATAGCTGTGACAACGCCCACTTTTACAGACGTGCTCGCACCGTGCACGGGGACACCTTGCAGGCGGGAGCCGTGTGCGTTGTGTAGAGGGCACCTGCGTGTGCGGGCTCCTGTCTGGGCTTCTCGGGTTTGCGGCGTTTGACGGGCCGGGAGAGGCAGAGTGCCCGGCTGCCCGCGCACCTGGGCACCTGGGCATGGACCTCAGGGCCTGGCAACCCCAGGCACTCACGGGCATTGCGGTCTGCACGGCTCCTGGCCTGGTGGGAAAGGTCAGGTGCAAAGAGTCAAGGAGGAGAGGGTGGTTAGAAAGACAGCAAGTCTCTGAATCACGTGTGCGCGCTCCCACACCTCTGAAGGGAGCTGACGCGCAGTGAGGGGGCCTGGGAAGGTCACCTTGAACTGGGACCTCAGCAGTCCTGTGGGGAGGAGAGAGGACATCCTGGGCCTTAAGTGATCGGAGTGCCTGAAACCCTCTACGGACCTTCTCACTGGGGGTGCTTGACATGTCATGAACCCTGACCCAGACCCCGACTCGCCTGGTGGGGGCTGGTATTGCTGAAAACTGATCCTTCCAGGAGGGACCCCCCGAGCTCCCCACTGGCAGGTGGGGGCGAGGCTGTGCCACAGGTTCAAACAGGGTGACCCACCACCCAACTTGCCCAGGACTTTCAGAGCTGACACCAGGTAGAGCAGGCAGTGGGTGCCCCCAGGCGGGTGAGGGCTGGAAGAGAAGGGCTCTGGCTGTCTGGTGGCTTGGCTGGGGCAGGGCACGCAGTTGCACGGGAAGCAGGTCTGCCCTGACTGTCAGGAACAGCTGGACACTCACCTCTGTAGAGGGGATCAACCTGGCCCGAGGTTCCGTTGCTCCTCCCGGGAGCTCACCCCAGCTGCTTGGCCACCCAAACATCTGCTTGGCCACAGAGGAGGGGCCTAATTGACCAGCATTATGCCCTTCAAAGGGGACAGCCCCACCGGCTGTTTGCTGTAATAAGGCAGTGGCTTGTTTATTTAATTTATACAGTAAAACTGTAATGAATGCTAAATCAAAAATGCAGAATACATGGTTGTTGGTATTGTGAATGCTGCCTACTAAATGAGAGGGTGGATAAAGAATATTTTTTCTTCTGAGAACCTAGGAATTTGCCTGTGATCATACAGACGCATTGCTGTTATGGGTTTAGCAAGGATCCTGCTGGTAGGGATGATAAATGAATTGTGCTGCATTTGCAAACGATTAGAGTCAAGATCAGCGTTTTTCAGGTTAACGGGGAAAAGTGGTTTTCCTTTCCCTGATGTGCTGTCAACTTTGCTTTAAAAACACACAGCAAGATTCTGCAGCCAAGTGGAGAATGTGACTTGTAGAAACAGTTCACCATTTACAGGATGGATGGAGTTTCTAATGGCTCCATGGCAAGGAGAGGGGGCCGCTCACTTAGCACCTCCGTTTTATAGGATCTCCTCCCTAGCCATAGACTAACCATATTTATAAGTGACGAGCATCTTAGACAAGGGCAGGTGGCTGCAGAAACCTCAGTCGGTGCGCCAGGCCCTGCTGCGTGGCGTGACTTGGTCGGCCGGCACTGGCGCGGCTGTGGAGGGACCCGTAGAGGAAGAGCTCCCTCTTAGGCGTCTCGTGTCTGCAGCGTTTGAGTCGGTCAGCACGTTGCAGTAAATCCCTTTGGCCACGACTGAATAACTGGCCTAGACAGTCTGTGGAGGTGGTGGGTGGGATGACTTGGGAGACTGGGATTGACACATACGCGCTAATACGTGTAAAACAGGTAACTAACGAGGACCTGCTCTATAGCACAGGGAGCTCCGCTTCGCTGTACAGTGGGAACTTAACACAACATTGTAAAACAGCTGTACCCCAATAAAAAAAGAAGAAGGAAAGTCTGTGGAGGTTCCAGCGTGGCGGGTCGGGAGCTGCACATCCATTGCCCGTGGAGAGGCCTCGGCTGCCCCCGGCCGCCCTGGCACCTGACCAAAGAGATGTGCCTCTGAGCGGGGGTCCCCTGGGTGTGCCACACGTCTTAACATGAGGTCACCTGACAGCTCTGAAGATCTGGACCTGGGGTGTGGAGGGAAAGACTCGCAGAGTCACCGTTGACATATCTGAGCTACTCACCACGAGGGCAGTTGCTGGGAAACCCCAGCAGCCCCTCCTGAGAAGACAAGGGTTTCGCAAGGAGAGCAGGAGAGAAGCGCTTAGATTCAGCTGGTGACTCTCACTTGGCCTCTTGATCTTGTAACGTCAGGTACCTCAGGTACCTCAGACGGCCGGGCCCAGTGGTCCCCCTGGGACCCCACAGTTGGGAGGTGTCCAGGCTTGGCGGTGGACATAGAAGGGAACCTCCCCAAGTCCCCTGCAGGGGCCCCTGGCAGTGACTCCGCTCTGGATCGGCGGCGAAGGTGACCTTGGGCCGGCTTGGTGGACAGCCCACGTTAGGGCCCACGTGGCTGGGATGAGTGAGAAAGGGGTGAGAGCTGAGACAGGGGACGTATGAGGATGGGCCCGGCTGAGGAGGGCGCCTGTGAGATGAGTCCGAGTGTGCGGGCCACGAGGCAGCACGCTGTCCCCCAGCCCTGCCACCTCCCGGGGGCTTCCTGCCTCTGGTGTGTCTGTACCCCAGCGAGCTCTCTGTGAACTGGGTCCTCTGTGCTTGCTGGGTCTGTGGCCTGCAGAAAGCGGTGACAAGCGGCCAGTGCTCAGGGCAAGCGCCCAGCAAGTGGCCTCTGGGCTGATGCAGAAATGATGCCAGCCGCAAGGTCCCGCTGTGGACCTGAGGCCACCAAGAGCCAGCCCCAGGCCCCAGGGGTCACTGCTGCTGAGGGTCGGGGCAAGAAGGTGGCTGCTGACCCCCCAGCTGTGCAGGGGATGTGAGGCCAAGGCTGGGGAGGGAGCGCGAGCCCTGTGCTGGGGAGGCCCCAGGCCTCCTGTGCTTCCTGTGCTTCTCTTGCTCCAAGGCCTGGAGTTCGTCCAGGAGACCCCGGTGTGTCTTAGGGTCTGGCCTGGGGTGGGGGGGTCTCTGGGCTCCGGCGCCTGGGGCTCACCTCTGACCTTTTTGTGCCCAGGTGCCCAGTTCCAGGCTGCGTGGGGCTTGGTCACATCAGCGGCAAATACGCCTCTCACAGAAGTGCGTCGGGCTGCCCTCTGGCCGCCCGAAGGCAGAAAGAGGGCTCCCTCAATGGCTCATCCTCCTCCTGGAAGCCCTTGAAGAACGAGGGGCCCACCTGCCCCACCCCGGGCTGCGACGGCTCCGGCCATGCCAACGGCAGCTTCCTCACCCACAGGAGGTGACTATCCCAGCCTCCCTGCCCCTGCATCACCCAGGAGGGCCCCAGCTGCGGGGCTGTGGGCAAGGCTCCCAGGGAGGGCCAGACCAGGGCTCAGGTGTAAATGGTAGTTTCTCGAGGAAAAAGCAAGACCCGAACTGGTAGCCCATTCATTCCACAAGCCATTACTGAAAGTCCATCAAGTATCAGTCTCTGGAGAACAAGAGGACACCAGCCCCCCTGCAAACCAGCACACAAGTTAAATACCTAGTTTGGTGAAGGATGGTACACACTGCGGGGAGATAGCAGCAGGAAGCGGGTAGGAAGTCCTTTCTGAAAAGGTGGTGTGGCGCTTGCCCCGAGCCGTCCGAGGGACAAGACTTCAGGGCAGTGGCTTGAGCTGGGAATGGCCTGGGCTGCTGAGGACTGAGGGAGCCTGCGGGCTGGTGTCGGGAGCGAGGGGCACTGGGGATGAGCGACATTCCAAACAGGATCCCACCAGGCCGCCAGCTCTCACTGTGACATGTGACCTCAGACTGGCCCATGGTGCGTGAGCTTGCACTGGCTTTTCACGTGTGACCTTTGCTTCCAGCTTGTCCGGCTGTCCCAGAGCGACCTTCGCTGGAAAGAAGGGAAAAGTCTCAGGGGATGAGGTTCTCGGCACAAAATTCAAGACGAGTGATGGTAAGGCTGCCCTCCTGCAGCCCCTGCACGTGGTCTTTGCAGCCAGAGTGGGCGGGTGGCACTGGCGAGAAGTGGGTCGGGAAGCAAAGCCACCCTGGAGCGAGTCGCGGTGGGGACAGAGCTCTTGAGCTGAGCCGCTGGCCCTCCTGACCTGGGCTCAGAGCCTCTGGCTGCCCTGTGCCCTCGCGTGGTCATTACGGCTCTAACCTGGGGGCTGGTGAGCCCTGCTGGCCGCGCTGGAAGCCATAGTGTGGGCCTGTGAACTCACTCAGGCTCAATGAAGAGGAAAGCTGAGGAAATCAGCGCCATCGGGGAAAAACTTCCATTTTTATCTCAGCAATTAACACTTGCCCAGGAGGCGTCTATTTTCCCACCAAGACCCAGGGCCAGGAGGCAAACAGCTGACACACGTCTACTAGTCCTGAAGGCCATCTTTCCCAGCCTGAGATGTGGGCCATGAGCCAGGGCTTCTGCTTGGGAAGGGGGTACCTGGGTCCATCTAGAAATCAGGTCTCGGCCGACCGCCGCTTGCGAGAGCCGCGACTGAGGTTTCTCTCTGGGGCAGTGCTGGACAGCGACGAGGAGATCAAGCAGCTGAACCAGGAGATTCGAGACCTGAACGAGTCCAACTCCGAGATGGAGGCCGCCATGGTGCAGCTGCAGTCCCAGGTGGGTGGTGCTGCCTACCTGCCCCCGCCCCGCCCTCCAACCCAAGGATGTCCTTCCCGTCCTCGGCCTCCTCTTCTGGGGAGTGTGCGGGGAGCCCAGCGCCTTGTCCAGCTTCTGCTCAGCGCGTGCTCTGCTCAGCGGCGTCAGGAGTCCTGAGGTGCTGGTGGCTGTTGGTCCCGTTGGTTAGTAGGAGCAGAGCCCCAGTGTGGGTCCTCAGAGCCCGGCTGGTGCTGGGTTCTAGCCCAGCGCTGCCACAAACCACCTCTGTGACCTTGTGAGGCTCTCATCTGATCCGTACCTGGATGTCCTCCCAGGTAGCGTGGAGATAATAAGAGAACCTACTGCATTCATTTGTTGTAAGGTGAATGCATTTCTACGAGGAAAGCGGTGAGCACGGTGTCCGACCCAGAAAGAACTGCTGTGCTGAGGGACAGGGTTACACGTTACTTTAGGTGTCTGCATCCTACCTCTCTGATTTCCCCAAATCGAACATTTGCAACCAGAAAAAAACAAGAACAAAAACCTGCAAAGAACGGTGATGGTCTATTTTGAAAAGAAGACCATGCCCTTCCCTTGGCTGCTGAGTGGGGGCCGGAGCAGAGCTAGGGGCACAGAAGGGGAGGCCGCACACAGCCACGTCCCCAAGGACAAGGAGGTGACCTGGCCCTGCGGAACTGGAGGGCAGAGGGGGTGAATGGGAAGTGTGAGATGTTGGAGTCCACATGACTTGTGCCGCCCCTCCTTCCCCTGGCAGACGGGCCTCTACGCTGACCTCCTGTTACCCAGGAACTGGTGTAAAAAGAGCATCAGCCCATGAGGATCTGGAGGGAGTTTTGTTCTGCTGTGCAACGTCTTCTCCACATTCACAGGCAGTGGAAGCAGAGAAGGGGTGCAGGGGCTGTCTCTGGGGACCAAGACACCCCACTGGGTGGCTGTCCCCCCCATACCTCCCTGCTCCTTTCCTTCTCAAAGTCCAAGGGATCTCCCAGTGTCAACACCCTTGGGAAGCACCTCTGATTTCTCTTTATTTGCCAATGCCCACCTATTTATAGACAGATTATTCACTATCGTCCTTTTGGAAGGACTTGGAGTTCCCCTTCCCGTCCGGGGAGTTTTGAGTTGTGTGCCCCGCAGGAGGGCTCAGGCAGAGAAGGCAGGCTCCAGACCTCTACTCAAAACTTTTTTAAAGCCAAAGGCTTGTCACTAGGCGGTGAGAGAGTGATGCTTCTCAGCCGCAGGTCACAGAGCCGTAGCCTCCTAAACGGCGGCTCGCCATCCTGCCCCTGAGGGATGGCTTGGTGTGTCACACACACTGCATGAGATTGCCTCTGCCCTGAGGCTCCTTTGAGATGCAGTGAGGCTGGGGGCTGCCCTCCCAAGCATGTCTCCTCTGGTCCAGGCCCCGTGGTGGGCTTCTCTCCCACCTTCCCCATGGGGTGGTGACCCTCTGCACAGGGTTCTGCTCACCCTGAGACTCATGTGGTGCCTGTGGCGCCTAGAGCAGGTGAGACTGCCCATGGCCATGACCCCTGTCATCACCGTCCTCTGCTGTTCCATGTGGAACCCTTAGAGCCCCTGGGAGAACTTCCAGGCTCCCTCCTAGTGCCCTGCTGGGTCCAGAGAAGGAGAAGTGTTTGTGCCAGAAATCCCAGGATGCTCTCTGGTGTGCTGGTTCCACTCCGCCGTGAGTTGCAGAGAGCTGCAGCGGCCTGCTTTGCTTGCCTTCACAGCTTTACTTTTTTTTTTTTTTTTTCCTGTACACGGGCCCCACTGTTGTGGCCTCTCCCGCCGTGGAGCACAGGCTCCGGATGCACAGGCTCAGCGGCCATGGCTCACGGGCCCAGCTGCTCCGCGGCATGCGGGATCCTCCCGGACCGGGGTACGAACCCGCGTCCACCAGCATCAGCAGGCAGACTCTCAACCACTGCGCCACCAGGGAAGCCCACCTTCACAGCTTTAATAAGGCACTTGGTTGGTCTTTCTGGTGGGGGAAACCCAAAGGCAGGTGGACGTCCCACAAGGTGTGTACAGTGTCCCTACCAGAGAGGAAGAACAGGAAGCTAGTAGCAGCTGGGACTTGAGCCCAGGTGCCTCAGTCTGTGCTCCTCTCCACCCCGTGGGGCACATAAAGCCGTGGCACCCCCGCCCTGGCTCAGTCACTGCATCCCCTCCTCCACCCAGGGACCAGGGTGCTGCCAGCCCTCACTTGTGGCAGGGCCTCTGCCTCCTCACCCTCTCGCAGAGGGACGTGAGGCGTGGCCCAGCGGGCACACCCCGTGCGCTCCCGGGCGGATGCGTCGGAAGGCAGCTCCCGTCTCTGTCTGGCGCAGATCTCGTCCATGGAGAGGAGCCTGAAGAACATCGAGGAGGAGAACAGGCTCATCGAGGAGCAGAACGAAGCCCTGTTCCTGGAGCTGTCCGGCCTGAGCCAAGCCCTCATCCAAAGTCTTGCCAACATCCGCCTTCCGCACATGGTAGGTAGCAGCAGCCCCGTGGCAGCCACGTCCTCGGGCTCTTGGGAGGGAGGGCGCCCCTCTGCCTCTGGGGTCTTGCTGGAGGGGCCCTGAGCTGGGGATTCTGCCTGGGCAGACAGCTGGCCATGGTGGCTGTAACACCCTGAGCAGCCTGGGCTGTGGCTGTCTCAGCCCGAGTGCTGCCCGTGGTGGGTCCGTGGGCTTGTCTCTGGTGGCATGGGCGTGTGGGTCCGAGAGTTCCCCCATCGATTTCCCTTGCTTCTGGAAACCCTGGGGCCCCCTGCACGGATGGGCCTCGCTAACCTGGTTCTGTTCTCTAGGAGCCAATATGCGAACAGAATTTTGATGCCTATGTAAGCACCCTCACCGACATGTACTCCAACCAGGAGTGCTACCAGAACCCCGAGAACAAGGACCTCCTCGAGAGCATCAAGCAGGCCGTGAGGGGCATCCAGGTCTAGTCCTCCTCGTGTGAGGAGCCCTCGTGCTGATCCGGGGCACCGGGGGTACCCCGACTTGCCTCCATCTTTTACCTCCCTTGCCCTGCCCTCCCAGTGGAGATTCCCAACTCACAGTGACTTCTAGTTGGCAGCCCAGGGCGGCCTCGGGGGGTTTACCCAGAGGGGTGCCTGGAAATCCGTGTCTCCCTCGATGCGATGCGCTCGCCGGGCCAGAGGCCTTGACCTCTCCACACGAGTGCGGGGCGTGAAGTATTACAAAGTGATTTATTTTTGCTTCTGAAAGCTCGAAGTCTCCAGGGGAAACTCAAGGACCAGGTTCTCAGGGAAGTTTTGGAGCTGCAGCCACAGTACTCCTTTGTCTGTCAAGGCCGAGAGGGCAGCCCGGCCGGGCGGTGGTGCGTGTGATGAGCCAGCCTGGGGCGGCCAGTGCGCCTGCGCGGTGAGGCCGCGTGGCAAGTGTGTTTCCTGTTGTCCTTTAATTCAGTTTTTACGTTAAGGGTGGAAGAGAACAGCGTTCCAGAGGGTAGGTTAGGAGTAGGCCTCGAGGAAGCTGGCCCAGGACCCCCTGAAAGACAGCGCCAGCTCCACATGGAAGCACCCCCGGCTGAGCCTGCAGACCCTGTGCTCGGGGTTTGGCTCCCTCGAGGCTGTGGCCTTTAGACCCATGTTGGGGTCAAGGCCAGGGCCTCTGGCTCTCTGTGTGCCCACGTGGCCCGTGACCCGCCCACCACCCGGGTCATGGCTGAGCTTTACTGAGGTGGGGACAGTGTCAGCGAGGTCAGGGGATAAGTTCCTAACTAGAGACCACCAAGGTGTCACTTCTTTTTAGATCCATTCGAGATTAGAAAGAAGGTAAATTTTGATTTAATGTGTTAAAAACACAATGTTCCTAACGTGTAAATAGAGTCCAAATCAACTGTGACTGCGATTCCAAGTTAGTATTTAAAAGTAGAGAAATTGCACTTCCTGGAAGAAATAAGAAAGTAGTTAGTTTAATTATTCTGTAAATTATTTAATTTTGTCAAAATGTAAGTATTTATATTCACAACCTCTTATGTTAATGTTTGCTATTTATTTAACATTTTTATTTATTAATTTTATACTATTTTACCTAGATCCCACACTAGGACACACGAGAGGGAAATCAATGAAATCAAAGCGAAATTAACGATTTCACTATGCGATAGGCCACACGAAAAATCTTGCTGTAACTTCTAGTTATGATTTTAATGCAACTGAGTTATTTTTTATATATTTTGTTATTTATTCTTTTAATAATGGAATTTTAAAAAAGTATTTTGTAACAGGAATTTTGATAATTTGGGGATATTTCCCCCTCGGTCCAATGGAAAGAACGACTTTTTGGTTTTCTTCATCCCTTTTGGCTCCTTTGGTTTCAGGCGCGGACGACAGCAAATGGAATTCTGTATTTATTGTTTATTTAAGCGTAGTGCAGACGTGTGTGCTCTGGCGTGTTTCTTGTGTCGCGTCTGTGTGCCGGTTCTTGATGGCTGAGTCCTGTTGCTGTGAGGGGTGCTGGCCGCAGGCCTCCCTGAGCAGCTGCCCGCTCTAGGCTCCCGTCCCTCTGACAGCTCTGATACTGTGATTCTCCTTCCTCAGGAAACGTTGAACCCACAGCACAGCACTTCTCAGTGTGTCTGCAGGGTGATTTCCTAATAAAAGTCCACTCTGACTGCGAGTGGGAGCTGTGTCTGGTGAGGGTGCTGTCTCTGTCCCGAGAGCTCTAGGGGTCACCTTCCTGGGGAGTGGATGGTGGGTGGGCTCTCCTTGATGCTACACGTGGAACCCACATCTCCTTTGTGGAACCGCCCTCCCCCCCAAGGTCTGAGTCACAGACCTGCATGTGTAAATCAGAGTTTTCTCTTAGGGTCAGAAGAAGTCTTCCTGCTGGGGTTGCTAGACTGGGGGTGTGAAATGGGGGCTGCCCAAGGCCACCTCTCCTGGCTGCCGGAGGGAGCCATCTGCAGAGGAGGGAGTTTGGACATTTAGGAGGGAGGCAGAGCTGGGAGGGGGAGAGAGAAAGGTGGAGGTGGGAGGGGGAGGCAGACAGAGCTCCTGGATTCAGCCATACCTGAAGGCGGTGATGGCTGTAGTGGCTCCTCACTGCTTTACCCTTTTGTGTCAGGCGGGGCTCTCCCAGGTAAGACTTAGATTTGGGGCTTCTGGTCACATTCAACCTGAACTGTCAACAAACTTTGACCTCACTGGGAATCTGGCCCTTGAGGGCAAACTGGAGCTCCCACCCGAATTGAGAACGAAGGGAGATTCTTAGGAATTCTGGGCCTCACTTCCAAGACCTGTCCCAGCTGGACAGTTGAGGCTCTGGAGGGCCTCAGCTGCTGGCTGTGGGGACCAGAGCATGTGACAGTGCGTGGAACCTGTGCAGCCTTGAGGAGGGGCTCCCCGGGGGGGCACAGGGAACCAGTGGTCTGGGTTGGTACTCATCTGTGTCAGCACACAGATGCTGGGGTGACAGCGTTCTGGAGGCATGAGAGTTGGCAGGAGGCGAGCAGAGGCCAGGACTGCGGAAGAACGGGTGAAGGGCCGTGTCCGTCCCACGCGTGACACCCTGCTCCCGCCCTCTCCCCGGGCTTCGCCCGCTCCCTGCCGAGGGTTTAGCGGGCCTCTTAGCCTCCTGACTCTGAAACGTTGCGCTTCGGGGGACCCAGCTTACCGCACCCCGACCTGGCACCAGTTCAGCCAGAACCTCTCCCCAGCGCCACACGGCACGGCCTCAGCAGAGATTTCCAAGGGCTCCAGCAACGTGAGAAGCGCTGGTGCCCGTGGAGGTGACGGTTGGGTGCCGGCGCACTTGCCACGCAGGTCTCCAGCTGGCTTCGTCGCGGTAAGCTCTGCCTGTGGGCTCTGCAGAACCTGGTTGGTCCAAAGAACAACAAAGACAACACGGCTGGGAAGAGGGCCCCAGAGGTCAGCGTCCAGAGCAGGTGAGTGCACAGATGTGGGGGGACAGAGGGGCTGTGGAGGGTGCGGGCAGGGGCGGGCCAGAGGCTCCCTCCACGAGCCACATCTCAGTGAAGTCCTGTATGCATAATTGGGGGACAGGTGGGCCACAGCGAAAGGACAGCCTGGGGAGAGGTCAGCTCCAAACCAGCCCTGGACTGGCCCTGGGCCTGGGCTCCAGCAAAGATGGACTCAGCCTTACCCGCAGGGCTGCTCAGGCCCATGGCTGGCCAGGTGGGCCAAGGGCATTCCCCTGGAGTGTGGGATCTCGGAAGACCTCTCAGAGGCCGTGTGCCGGATGTGGCAGGTGGATTGGAGGAGAGGGGGCTTCCTGGAGAGGTAGCACCGTGGGCACGGATGCTGGCGTGTAGGACCCTGATGTTGAAGAACCACAGCACTCAGGAGGCTGCTTTGCTCTATAAGACCTGTAGGCTTTCCAAGCTGTTCTCCGGCTCCAGGATTCTGGGAGGTACTAGGCAGCCTGGCCTCGGGCTTCTGGGTCCTCAGTATCTCTCGGCTTCCATCCACGATGATATCCTGGGCTTCTGAGGCTTTGTCCACTGTGGTGTCAGCAGACCTGGGCTTGAATGGGGCTCTGCACTTACCTGCTGGTGTCTGTGTGTGATGCTGTGGGCAGAGGGTCCACGGCAGCCCCTCTGGCTTCAAGCAGATGCAGCAGCACCGTGCCGCTAGAAGGTTGTATGGTCCCACAGTCTAATGATGACATTAGCTGTTCACCCCCCAAAAAGCTGATCCTACCTCCTGCTTGGAGGGTCTGCCTCAGCCACCAGCCTCCTGGGGTCCAGGGTTGGGGAAGGTCTTGGTGTCATTGGCATATGCTCTCTTAGGATTTATTTTTGGGGTGGGGACCTCATCCACAGCCAGGCCTCCTCTCCCAGCCTGCAGACCCTTCTTTTACACCCTGCAGAGAATAAAACTCAAGGCTTTATCCTGAGGGAGGGGAGCGTTCCCCAGCTCTCAGAGACACTTGCCACCAGCCATCTTTGTTACAGGCCCTTTCTTCCTTCTCCAGCATCACCTGAATCTGCCAGGTACCCGGGTTCTGAGGTGCGGATGGCCTTGGTTCTGAGCCTCCCACACTCTAGCTATAATTCGGGTTTGGGGTCTGCTAAGTCGTCCACTGCATATCGGTGTCTTTTCTGCCTTCTGAATCACATTGTTGTCTCCTCTTCCATCTTCCCATTCCTGCCAGTTTATACCTTTTTTTTTTTTAAACATCTTTATTGGAGTATAATTGCTTTACACTGGTGTGTTAGTTGCTGCTCTATAACAAAGTGAATCAGCTGTACATAGACATATGTCCCCATATCTCCTCCCTCTTGCATGTCCCTCCCACCCTCCCTATCCCACCCCTCTAGGTGGTCACAAAGCACCGAGCTGATCTCCCTGTGCTGTGTGGCTGCTTCCCACTAGCTAGCTGTTTTACATTTGGTAGTGTATATATGTCCATACCTCTCTCTCACTTCGTCCCATCTTACCCTTCCCCCTCCCCGTGTCCTCAAGTCCATTCTCTACGTCTGCGTCTTTATTCCTGTCCTGCCCCTAGGTTCTTCAGAACCATATATATTTTTTGATTCCATATATATGTGTTAGCATGCGGTATTTGTCTCTCTCTTTCTGACTTACTTCACTCTGTATGACAGACTCTAGGTCCATCCACCTCACTGCAAATCGCTCAATTTCATTTCTTTTTATGGCTGAGTAATATTCCATTGTATGTATGTGCCACATCTTCTTTATCCATTCATCTGTTGATGGACACTTAGGTTGTCCCTCCTAATAGCTTGGACTTCCATGTCGTGGCTATTGTAAATAGTGTTGCAGTGAACATCGTGGTACATGACTCTTTTTGAATTAACGGTTTTCTCAGGGTATATGCCCCGTAGTGGGATTGCTGGGCCATATGGTAGCTCTATTTGTAGTTTTTCAAGGAACCTCCATACTGTTCTCTATAGTGGCTGTAGCAATTCACATTCCCACCAGCAGTGCAAGAGGGTTCCCTTTTCCCCACACCCTCTGCAGCATTTATTGTTTCTAGATTTTTTGATGATGGCCATTCTGACTGGTGTGAGGTGATACCTCACTGCGGTTTTGATTTGCATTTCTCTAATGATTAGTGATGTTGAGCACCCTTTCATGTGTTTGTTGCCTGCCAGTTTATACCTTAAAAACTGTCACTTTAGCCAGGTTTTGAGAGGGTGCAAATGTAGATAGGCGTGTCTACCTGCCCTCCTTACCTGGACCCACAGGTAACGCCCCAAGTGGGTGAACATCAGGCTGTGTGTGGAGGCTGTGTTGATGCCACCCCATGATTGCAGGAGAGACTTTCCCCTTAACCACTGCACCCCTAAGGCTCATGGCTCCGTAGAGGCTGTTACAGCTGTGGATGTGGAGGGTTTCCTAACACTGGGCGATACGGGTCCAAACCTTGCCATACGGGTCTGCAGGTGTTATGGCATTGCCTTTCTCTTTGCTCCTCCTTGAAATAGGAGGTGGCTTCTCCGAGAGAATCCCAGCCCCCACCTCAGCCAAGTGCCCGTCAGGTTAAAACACATAGGGGTGCCAGGGGATCCACGATCGTGGGCACACCACCAGTGCTGGCAGCTGACCCTAGGGACAGGCCCCTGCGGTCCCTTCTGCCCCCCAGACCCCGCCCCTGCTAGCCTTGCCCCTCTCCCTGTCCCCTCTGGTCTAGGGTGTGTGGGCCACTGAAGCCTGGCTTCTACCCTTCCAGCGCCTTTTATGGCTCCCTCCATCCCTCCCCCTCTGTGCCCTCCTCCAGCCTGTCCCCCTTGCGCCCCGCAGAAGCTGCCCTGGGTCTCCTCCTGGCCTCTCCCCTCCCTTTCTCACCATCCCTACAAGAGTGTGCCACGTGCAGAGAATGCCCACACTGTTCCCCAGGCCTGCCTTTCCCAGTTCTAGCACCTTCTGGGTCTCCACTTGGATGTCCCACCTGCCACAGGAAGGCTGAGCAGGGTGCCCCCTAGATCATGCCAGAGTGGGGAGAGGGGTGGCTGCATGGGGCAGGAGGTGGGCCCAGGGCCCTGGGTCTGAATTAGGAGGATCCAGTTGTGCCCCTGGACACCTCAGCTAGGAGCAGCCCACAGGTGGGAGCCACGCCTGGCAGGAGCCCCAGGAGTTAAGAAGTCCCCAGACCTGCTTGGACCGTCAAGGGAAAGACCCTGAGCCTAACCCTCCCTGACAGGTGGCTCCACGGTGAACTCCAGAGGAGCTCTGGTCCCTCCTTCCAGGGTGCTAAGCTCTGAGAGAAAAGCAATCAGTGCTTCTGATTTATAAATAACTTTGCTTTCAAACATGATGGAGGGGCTACAAAGAGAAAGTATTTGTCTCCCTTCACCTCGGGCTAATTACAGACGGGGTCTTTTTTTTTTCCAGAATGAGAAGGCTCTTTGCAGATCAGCTTGTCTGTAGTGTGGCCCAAGGTACACTGCCCCATTGCAGTGTGGGAGGAGCCAGGTGGAAGCTGGCCTCTGTGTCTTGGACAAAGAGGTTGACGTAGCCGCAGGGGCCCCACCTGGACGTCAGGGGTCTGGGGCCACCAGGCCCAGGAGATTCCCTTCTCAGCTTTACTGCCAGGTTCACAGTCCATGCCGTCCGACGGGAGGAGGACGGACCAGCCACATGTTCTGATCTCCTCTTTCTGGAGCCTCCTGGAGAGGCTCCTCCTTCACTGTGAGCTGGGGATGGTGGCAGCC